AATTGAAATGCATACAAACATTCCCCCACATGCCGATAACATGTAACTAAGATTCGCCGAAATTTGTTATCAAGTGAACATTAACCAAATCGCAGATATACGTGTGGGTACAGCTGCACATTTCAACCGCACACTATCATCTCTCAAACTTAAACACACACATATTCATAGATACTTGTCTATGCGTATATCTAGCTATACATATCTATAAGTACGCATACCCGCTTCACACTCCAGAGCAGTGTACAATTTCATTCATCACTGAACAATGGCCAGCGGAAAACTTTAAATGACCTTAAGTTGTAATTTTTCTTGAAGGAAAAAGGAGATGCCGGCGTTAGCTTTGGTATCAGTTCAGTTCAGCCCGTACAATGGCACCGGTCTTAGCGTTTAAATTGGAGGACAAAATAACATTAGAACAAAGATTTGCCTCAATTAATTTCCATTTTCTATCAGTTTTTTCGTGCTTAAATAGAAATTCTTCCTTGTGGTTGTTTTTTTTTTTGGCGGAATATCGATACTTTTACGCCTGTGGTATCTTCAGTTTGTTTTTGGTGTGAGGCTTGTAGAAAACGTTCAGTTTAACCGCAAACCGCAAACCGCAAATACAATTACAATGGCATTTCGTTTTATTTAACAAGCGGCTCTGCGGTTGTCACAGAGTAGCTTAGTTCGTAAAGTAGCAATGCTTATTGAAAAACAGGAAAAGATAAAACTTTAAGGAAAAAATGAAGAAATGTATGTTGAAAATAGTTACACTGGAAATTATTAATGAAAATAGCTAGAATATGAGTATGTGTATTTAAGCAACTAGCTTAACAAGAAAAATCTCACAATTATAACGTTCAATGGCACATAAATATTAAAATATAGTAAATAATTATAACGCACTAAATTTTAAATTTTCTTCTTCTTCTTCTTCTTGTTTAGCACTACAGTCTAGTGTGACCCTTGGCCTCCTTCAAAATTTTAAGTTTTAATTAATTTTTATTATCCAAAGCATTATCCATAATTTTTTGCGTGTCACATTCTCCTCTATAATCTCCTATAATCTATAATCTATAATCTGACTACATTCTCCACTACAATGTGAACAATAGTCAGTTTACTAAAGTTCTTTAGACTTATAATTTTTAAATCGTTTTTCACATACTTAATCAACTGATTTTGCAATCGTTTCCCTTTTTCCTTTTAATCATACATATTTTTAATATCTTTATAAACATTTTACCATTTATACCATTGATCTAGTTATAGAAAAAGCTATGAATTCACAAAATAGACAATACTTTCAATATGATTTAAATTTGGTTCTCCATTCGCATTCTGGAATTTTATAATATCTAGACTAGTAGAATTTTAGGTGTCTCTAACACGAGACCTAAAACTCTACTTAATATTCTCCTTTGAAATACATACGTTTGGGTAATGGTATCAGCAGAAGAGATCTGAAGTGATCCTTCTGCTGAAGAGACCCAGTGTTATGTTCCAACTATTTTTACTAGTACTCTAAATCGCTTTACTAAGTCCTTTTAAAACTTCATTCAACTTAAGAAATCCCGTTGGAAATTAGCTAGTTTAGGTAGATGCAGAGGTTCTTATCAATGTGCAGTTTCACAAACTATCAAAAAAGTACTAGTCACCTTTTGCTTCTAGTATCTGAAGCTAATGAGACTTCAAGGCATATTCTGTGTGGTTTTACTATTGAACCTCATCATATTATATTTTATTTAGACTTTAGAATATAGCTTAAAATTTAGTATCCAATTTAGTTTAATTCATTCCTGTTTCATTCCTGATTCCTGTTTAGTAGTGGTATCGCAATGAACCCGTAGGTTCTAACTGAATTAGTCAGCGTGATTTACTATCATTGTTACTGTAGTAGTAATATAAGTTTACTAATCTACTTCAAAGTGAAAAGAAATTTTATATTTCTAATGAAAACGTTTTGTCATTCAATTGTTTATAAATCATAAAATATATATTTTATATATTTATTGACTTTAAAAAGCCTGTGTAGTTCTTTTTACAGCAGAATCATTTGAATTTTAGGTTTGGTATACGAATATGAAACTTTAAAAATTTATTTCATTTATTTTTTACATGTTTTTTCAAAAAAGATACAAAATTTGATATATTCGCTAAACACGTCAAAATCTTTTAAGCACGTATTAAAAAGTTTTATCTAAAAATGGAATAAATACTAAATAAAAATAAAAATAAAAATGAAAATAATTCAGCAGTTCAGTGGTTCAGTGGCTCAATTGGCTATATAGGCCATATATAGGCAAATTCTGTTCTACATATTTGAGTAGTATATCCTACTAGGATTTTTCTCAGTGCAAATACAAAAAAATTTCTTTGACAGCAAATGGCAGGAGTAGTAGGAGCGTAAAAATGAAATCCCAGCTCGGCCATTATTGAGCGATAAATTGATTAGATGTACTTGTGAATGTTTGTGATTCCCTTAAATTGCCATTTCGATGTTAATTTTATTAGGGTGTCGGTAATAAATTTCACTGAAACTTGAATATCATAAAAGTAAATATCTATGTTCGCTGAGCAAATGTGTGCACTGCTCTTCAATGGCATCGAATTGAATTGTAATGAAACGAATTGAAATGTTAAAATTAAAATCACTTCACATAAGCTTCGAAATAATGCGCACACACTGTGGTTTTAACATAATAAATTTTCAATTAGTACTATTTACTAGTCAACTAAAATATGAAGAAGTGAAGATACTCGCACTAATGCGTGCGTTCACGAGTTTTGAAGTGTACTGTGCAGATATCAAATTGCAAGTAATCTGTAATTTATCATATCTATCATATTTAATGTCAAGTGTGTGGTTGATGGATAAGTATAAGTCCTTAACCTCAAATATTTAATAATATTTAAACAGTATACTATTCTGTGAAATATAATAACACTTAGGATTGATATTATGATTTCGAAATGCTGTACATGTTTCTCTTTGAGAAACTATAAGTAATATAGGCCGTTATTTGTTGTTCAAAACAAATAATTTATTTTATGGAATTGACAACTTCTTATTGCAAACTATGGGTATACATACGGATAAAAACTGTAGATTTTGTTAAGAGAATGAGGAGTCGGTCACACATGTGCTGTTAAAATCCCCTGCGCTAATGCCCATACGGAATAGGCTCTTGGGAATGTATATTCTTACGGAAGAGGCCATAAAACTCCGTAAAGGGCTTACAGACCTCACAATAGACTCGACGGTCGCAATGTCGCAAATATCCCCTAACAATAATAATAATAATAATTGTATACTAACTCATATGCAGTTGTGAGAATATCGACAATATTTTAAGATGTATAATTCTGTAATTTTAATGATATATAAAGCTCTGTGATAATAAATAGTTATGGTCCGTGATATCACAAAGGCTCATTATTTGAGCACAAGCGGACTTTAGGCTAAAATTCGTCACTCCAACCTAACCTAACCTAAGTGGTTGAAAAAACTGAAATTTCTCTACAATTGTAGTATTTTACTTTGCAGCAAAACTATATATTTTCTGATTCTTTAAATATTATGAGAATTTTGCAAATACATATTTGATAATTCTGTTTAAGTTGTTAGTGCTCATATATATATATTTTCCTATTATATTTGGATTCATAAAAATATTTATATTTTTATAAAATTTTAAGAAAGCAAGACAATAAAACAAAATGAAACGGATCAAAAAGGAGTAGTCTAGTGCAATCATGGCAGATCTTTTGTTGTGAAAGATTTTCTTTTGTTGTTAGCAATATATATGAAATATTAAGAAAGCAAGACAATAAAACAAAATCAAACGGATCAAAAAGTAGTAGTCTAGTGCAATCATGGCAGATCCCTTATTGTGAAAGATTTTCTAATAGCAGATGTGAATAAAAACTTCTAGCGCAGTAATCTATCTTTTAAACTGGCGATTGTTATACTAGAATCTGTTTACAAATATAATTTTAAATAGTAAACAATAATAAGTACTAACAATCAAAATTGCAACTACTACAACCTTGATTGTATCATCTGTTTTGTATATAGATTAGATATTGTATAGTATATTTCACTAATTAGCTAGCATAGATAAACTAAATAAATTTAAACCACGTAAATAAAGTAAATTTAAAGTATAATTGCACTAAAAGGACTATTATAAGATTTTAAAACTAAATGAAGTAAAATTAATTCAAAATATAATAAATATTGCTTACCCAAATTAAAAATTTTCTATAACCTACATATTTTCCTTATATAAAATGTACCAAAATAGGATTTATTTTTATCAATTTTATAATACTCGCTACAAAAATAGAAAAAAGAAAATTCATATAATTATTTATTTGAAAAGTATATATTTATTCTGAAAATCGACTTAAATTGTATACAAAGAGAAAAAACCAAACGATGTCAGTTATTCACAACTTTAATATTAACAAAAACATATTCCAATGTAGATTACCATAAATGCGAACACATACACACACACTTAAACACAAACCCATTCATACAAAATTATTACTCACATGCCGAAAAGTAGGCAATGAAATTTCACACAATATGGCGCACATTATGAATTTATGAAATTACAAAGCTTCTTCTTTTTCTATGACGAGTATTAAATTAACGAAGGAGGACGAGGACTCAATTAAGGAAAAAGAAAATTAACTCATATGAGTAAAAATCTTCTTTCAAGTTAATTTTAATTAATTTATTAAAATGATTAATGAAATGATTAATTTTTAATTTAATAAATTATATAATTGAAATTGCTTATTGTTAGTCCGTCAGAAAAGCAATAAAAAAATAGTAACTACAAAATATATTAACAATAAAAATATAATTTAAATATTTTTAAATTAATTTCCTGTATATTTTTAAATACACATTTTCGTTTAAAAAATTTTGAAATTTTTTTTATTTATTATAGTATGATTTGAATTAATGTGAACCACAAGCATTACTGCGGTTTCCTATTACTTTAACCTGGTTGGCGCTCTATAGTTGTACTCCATTTGAAATTTCCATCACCACTGTTCTACAAGCCAACTGACGGAAGCAATAAGCACCAATCTACTAGATTACATATGCTTAACTTGGATTAAGCACAAAATAATTGAATTGAATCACTTGAGTGAATAGCAATCAGTACGCAATGTTAACTCATACTTTACTTAATATTAGAATATACATGACCTACAACAAAACAACTTAACCCGCTCGACATCAGTCGTCAGGCTTTGCGCAACAGGATTTATGTTGCCTACATTCCTAGCCGTATACTGTCAACAACCTTTGCACACTCCAAAAGTGAAAAAAGTACATACAATTATTCGTAACATCTTCTTCGCTTTACCCGATTTCCAAATACACTTTCCAAATACAATCAGTGCACAGCAGGTGATGTTACGCGAGCAAAGTGTTTCCGGCCGCCATCACAGCTTTCTAAGTTTTTAATAAAAATGTTGTTAATGCTTGTATAATTCTCAAAACGCAGCAGCACTTGAAACTTAGATATTCAACTACACTGTGTACAACTACGGCTGCAAGTCTGGGAATAGTTGATATACGTGCGTACTCCGCATACCCGAAGCACTTAACTAAAGCCAGCATCTTCACAGAATGTCTGGCAAATGGCGGTAGTATTAAGCACCAATACAAACTGAAACATGTTCTACTTCAATTGTTTACCGTTTTACTTTGTTGCGAGGCCAGCTCAGTAGCATGTTATTCAGTTAATGGAACGCAAGTCAACGAAAATGTTATCACCAATAAACAAATACAGTTGGCGAAGTTTTCAACACCACCATGCGGTGCAAAAAATGTTACTATCACGAACCCGTTTGAGATGCCACCAAACTCTTCTACAATGTCAAACTCAAACACAAGCACTGTCGAAACTTTTGGTAGTTCAGTTCTTGAGACAGCAAACACTGCATCAACCACGACCACAGCGCCCACAACCACTAAAACATTGGCTTCTAATGTGTCTAACACAACATTTGATGAAATTCCACAAATTCCTGTGTACATACGCACCACTGCCATGTTCTTCTGCATAATTATTATGGTGTTGGGTGTAATTGGCAATATTATGGTAAGCAGCAACTTGAGGCAGCATTCCTTTAGCTAAGTCAGTTTGATATCTAAGAATTCCATTTATTAGGTGCCAATTGTTATTGTAAAAACCAAGGATATGCGCAACTCCACCAATATATTTCTAACTAATCTCAGTATTGCGGATTTGCTTGTGTTGCTCGTTTGTACACCCACGGTGCTGGTGGAGGCCAATACCCGCCCAGAGACCTGGGTATTAGGCCATGAAATGTGTAAGTATATGGCTTAAACTAATATTGTTTAGTTTGAAAATATTGAAAAACTTATTTTTCTATTAATTTAATAACTCAACTAATCCCAATAATTTATTTATTTTTTTATTAATTCAGAGCTAATTAAAGATGTTGAATATATAAAAAATCAATGGTTTTATATAATATTGAAGACAACAATTGCTTTTATAGAATATGTCATAAATCAATATATTTAAAAAATTTTTTAAAATTTAAAACGAATTATTCAGAACTGAATATATGTATAAAGTTAATATTTGATAAATAAACTTCTTATCTGTAAAGGTTTAATAAATGAATAATCTTAAATATCCCATAGAATTAATTTAAATATTACTTAATTAACGAATACTGGAACTTTAATCTGTGACCGACTTCAACAGATGGTTGTGCTACTGAGCACAGTCCATTCAAGCCCACAAAAATTTTAAGTATTTAGTCACTTACCTTGAATATTAATCATTGTCTATTTTTAAGTGACAGATCTTAATAAAAGAAAATAAATTAAAAAACAAAAAAAAATTAACGAATAGTTGTAATAACTTCATAGTCCTTACATAAATGTAAGATAATATATATATACTTATATAATATTGATATAGTATATTATAATACTAATCTTATTTCAGTAAAAATAAAATAGAAACCATAAAGAGTCAGCGTTTAACCTATATAAATACATTTCCATACAACAAAGTTATTATAATAAAAAATTTTTAATTTTCAAATATTTTAATATTAATTTTAAACATGTGATAAACTCTTTAATGCTAAGTATAAACTCTCTTTGAAACATCACTGTGACCTGTTAAAAGAAATTTCCTATAAATGATATATTTTTATAATTTATATTAATTTATTTTTGAAAAAACATATTTAAAAAAAAAAAACAAAAAAGAAAATATTTAATATAATATTTAATATTTTATACTTGTTCGTATAGGTAAAGCGGTTCCGTTTGTGGAACTCACTGTTGCCCATGCAAGTGTGTTAACCATATTGGCCATATCCTTTGAACGTTACTATGCCATATGTGAACCACTCAAAGCCGGCTATGTCTGCACAAAGACACGAGCAATATTTATATGCTTCCTAGCATGGGCAATCGCAGCGCTATTTACTAGGTAAGTTTTCTATATAAAAGAAGAAGCACATAATTTATTTACACATTCTATTGGCTATCTTTTAATGAGTTTACTCATACTTTTTTAAGGATATCCATATATGAAATTTATTTTTTTCTCTCAGAACTGCTATATATCTATCTTTTGTTCCTTATAATCTATATGTAGTGCACGTTTTTGCTATTTTCTGTCAAATGTTATCGTAATATTCATTAGATTTGCTACTCTTCTTCCTTTATAAGTGTGTTTATTATTTTGTCGCTATTTTGATGATTTTAATGTAATTTAATTATTCAGATCTTTTCATTGTACACCAAAACAATTATTTCACTCATTTGTATGATAATTTTCAAAAAAATGCTTTATGCAAAGAATGGAAAGTGTTAAAAGTGTTATTAATAAAAATAAATTCTTAAAAGTGCATGCATTGTGTATTATTAAAATTAAAAATAAAAGCAATTTTAGTTTATTCAAAAAATTATACAAAATTGTAAAAATTTAAATTACCAAAAATTCAAAATTATATTCCGTTTTTATTGATGTTTTTATCTTTGTTATATCAAAACTAATAAACAAACGTCCCTTTTCTTTTGTTCATTGACATTTATTTTGAAGGCGAACTCGAAAGGACCCTTTTCTTATTTTTAGGTTAGCAAAAATAGAATAATAAAAGCAACAAATTCCGTTCATAACGCTGTGTGTTCACTGACCTCGCCGCAAAAATATTATACTTTATTATCATATTTTATTTTTTTATTCGTATATTAATTACAAGTCGTACTACTACTCAGCACACTACTTACTCTGCACTCTTCCAACAAACACAAATGCGTACAAAGTTGGAAATAATTCGAATAGAGCATTGCATACCCACTTTTGAACAGTTTGGGAACCATAAATGCAAAGATTACTGCTTTTAATTTTCACATTCCACACTCAATAATTTACCTCTGTCATTTATTTAATCCTTCTCTTATATAATTTCATGTTACATCTTTAAGCTATGTTCTTCTTCTTCCTCTTCTTTCAACTCTTTCACTTTCCTTAACTTTCCGCATAACAGATAAAACTTATGCAAAGCTTAAACGCACAGACAACATAAAACTGTAACCCAAAATTATTTTTTACAGCCCCATACTTTATGTAGCAGAATACAAAACGGTTGAATACATTGATGGATCATCTGTGGCGGTCTGCTTGACACAGGCAATCACCAAACTGACAATTGGCTTCTTTCTGATGACCATTATACTCTTCTTTTTGCTGCCACTCATTATACTAATTATACTCTACGGTATTATAGCCAAAAATCTAATTTCGAATAATGGTCCGATGTTACGTATACGTCCCATCAAACCAGAATTAAGTTTGAAGGCACGCAAACAGGTGGTGCTTATGCTCGGCGCTGTTGTTCTATCATTCTTTCTGTGCCTATTGCCTTTTCGTATGCTTACCATGTGGATTATATTGAGCTCAGAACAGACATTCATTGAAATTGGTATTGAAAAATATTATGGACTATTGTATTTTTGCCGTATTATGTTATACTTAAACTCAGCAATCAATCCAATATTATATAATCTGATGTCAACGAAATTTCGTAAAGGATTTTTTAAATTAAGTTGCAGTACTTGGAATTTTATTTGGAGAACATTGACATGTGGACGACCAAAGTGCACACGTGCCAGAATGAATGGTAAAGTAATGGGCACAACAACAAATACAACAACATCCAATACAACAACAGCAACATCGTCTAGTTTATTATCGCGTAGTTCAAATCGAAGATCAAGCGAAGAAATTGCACGGACGAGAGTGCAAATTCAAATGCAAATGCCCTGTGGCAGTGACAGTGAAATGGTGGCAATGTTGCATGTAAATGATGGAAATGAAATATTGCAATCCACAACAGACAACAGAAATATGCAAATGCTAAAAAATAATATGAAACAACAGCAAAAACAACAACAACCACAGCAGCAACAGCAAAAGCAAAAGCGGCAACAACATCGCTTATATATGCTTAGTAATCGAGTGCGGTGTCAAAAACAACATAATTTTGATGAGAAATCATTTCAAAATCAAAATGAAGAAATTCTCTCAGAATAGATAGCAAGTAAAAGATTGATTGTTATATATGTGTATTTATAAGTCCTCAACATACAAAATAAAATTCAAAGCTTTATCACTTATAATAAAGAAATTGACTGAAATGATGTTAACAGACATCAATCGATGTTGAAACTACTCGTGAAATCATGTTAATGCACAGAATGCAATCAGTGTTAAAATAATTGCAGTTACAAACAAGAGTTTAATCGAAATTAAAGTTTAAGTGACATCAAAAACATAGAAATATGTTTTTGAGTGACATCATGTTAACAGAATGCAATCGGTGTTAAAATAATTGCAGTTACAAACATGAGTTTAATCGAAATTAATGTTAAAGTGACATCATGTTAACAGAATGCAATCGGTGTTAGGACCTTTGTTATTTTGTCTACGAACTGTAATATATGGTAATTAATAAGCTTACCATAATATCACAATAAAAATTGATAAAGTATTATTAATCTAAGGAATAATTATAAACAAAATATTGATTCCACTCATTTGAAACATATGACTAGAAGCTACTATCAAGCTAAAATACTTTCGTTATTAGCAATAGCCAGCCAGAAAAAATTTTAAAAAAGCGATAAATATTTAAAAATTGTAAAATGTTTGAAATTATTAGTTAGATCTTCAAATATATAGAATGGAATTAATTTTCTTTTGTTCATTGATATTTATTTTGAAGGCGAACTCGAAAGGACCCTTTTCTTATTTTTAGGTTAGCAAAAATAGAATAATAAAAGCAACAAATTCCGTTCATAACGCTGTGTGTTCACTGACCTCGCCGCAAAAATATTATACTTTATTATCATATTTTATTTTTTTATTCGTATATTAATTACAAGTCGTACTACTACTCAGCACACTACTTACTCTGCACTCTTCCAACAAACACAAATGCGTACAAAGTTGGAAATAATTCGAATAGAGCATTGCATACCCACTTTTGAACAGTTTGGGAACCATAAATGCAAAGATTACTGCTTTTAATTTTCACATTCCACACTCAATAATTTACCTCTGTCATTTATTTAATCCTTCTCTTATATAATTTCATGTTACATCTTTAAGCTATGTTCTTCTTCTTCCTCTTCTTTCAACTCTTTCACTTTCCTTAACTTTCCGCATAACAGATAAAACTTATGCAAAGCTTAAACGCACAGACAACATAAAACTGTAACCCAAAATTATTTTTTACAGCCCCATACTTTATGTAGCAGAATACAAAACGGTTGAATACATTGATGGATCATCTGTGGCGGTCTGCTTGACACAGGCAATCACCAAACTGACAATTGGCTTCTTTCTGATGACCATTATACTCTTCTTTTTGCTGCCACTCATTATACTAATTATACTCTACGGTATTATAGCCAAAAATCTAATTTCGAATAATGGTCCGATGTTACGTATACGTCCCATCAAACCAGAATTAAGTTTGAAGGCACGCAAACAGGTGGTGCTTATGCTCGGCGCTGTTGTTCTATCATTCTTTCTGTGCCTATTGCCTTTTCGTATGCTTACCATGTGGATTATATTGAGCTCAGAACAGACATTCATTGAAATTGGTATTGAAAAATATTATGGACTATTGTATTTTTGCCGTATTATGTTATACTTAAACTCAGCAATCAATCCAATATTATATAATCTGATGTCAACGAAATTTCGTAAAGGATTTTTTAAATTAAGTTGCAGTACTTGGAATTTTATTTGGAGAACATTGACATGTGGACGACCAAAGTGCACACGTGCCAGAATGAATGGTAAAGTAATGGGCACAACAACAAATACAACAACATCCAATACAACAACAGCAACATCGTCTAGTTTATTATCGCGTAGTTCAAATCGAAGATCAAGCGAAGAAATTGCACGGACGAGAGTGCAAATTCAAATGCAAATGCCCTGTGGCAGTGACAGTGAAATGGTGGCAATGTTGCATGTAAATGATGGAAATGAAATATTGCAATCCACAACAGACAACAGAAATATGCAAATGCTAAAAAATAATATGAAACAACAGCAAAAACAACAACAACCACAGCAGCAACAGCAAAAGCAAAAGCGGCAACAACATCGCTTATATATGCTTAGTAATCGAGTGCGGTGTCAAAAACAACATAATTTTGATGAGAAATCATTTCAAAATCAAAATGAAGAAATTCTCTCAGAATAGATAGCAAGTAAAAGATTGATTGTTATATATGTGTATTTATAAGTCCTCAACATACAAAATAAAATTCAAAGCTTTATCACTTATAATAAAGAAATTGACTGAAATGATGTTAACAGACATCAATCGATGTTGAAACTACTCGTGAAATCATGTTAATGCACAGAATGCAATCAGTGTTAAAATAATTGCAGTTACAAACAAGAGTTTAATCGAAATTAAAGTTTAAGTGACATCAAAAACATAGAAATATGTTTTTGAGTGACATCATGTTAACAGAATGCAATCGGTGTTAAAATAATTGCAGTTACAAACATGAGTTTAATCGAAATTAATGTTAAAGTGACATCATGTTAACAGAATGCAATCGGTGTTAGGACCTTTGTTATTTTGTCTACGAACTGTAATATATGGTAATTAATAAGCTTACCATAATATCACAATAAAAATTGATAAAGTATTATTAATCTAAGGAATAATTATAAACAAAATATTGATTCCACTCATTTGAAACATATGACTAGAAGCTACTATCAAGCTAAAATACTTTCGTTATTAGCAATAGCCAGCCAGAAAAAATTTTAAAAAAGCGATAAATATTTAAAAATTGTAAAATGTTTGAAATTATTAGTTAGATCTTCAAATATATAGAATGGAATTAATTAATAGTAAAAGTCAATTTTTATTTCATTGATAAAATCTATAAAAAGAGTTTCAGTTGAAGCATATTTTGATACTTCTGATGATGTTAATATTCATATTAAAAATAGTTATACAAAATTTATATATATATATATATATATATATATTTTTTTTTTTTTTTTTTTTTTTTTTTTTTTGTATATATACACATTCTTAAAAATGCATGTATAAACATATGCGTTTTTATGAAGTGATATATGTATATTTCAGTAATATTTATGCAAAGCATTATAATAATATATGACAATAGACTTTTTACAATAAAAAAAAGAAATTGATATAAAAATTTATGTTAAATAAAAACATCAGCAAAACAGTTTTAATACACAAAATACATAAAACTAATATATATATATACATATATATATATATAAATATAAAAAAGGCAAATATTGATAAAGTATATGTTTTCCATTTTGCATGTTGTCAGTTTGAAATGCCACTTTTTAACCCGTTTACACTTTTGCTTGACTTAACAAAAATTTTTGCAACAAAAAAGTCAATGATGAGCCTGAACATGGGCTATTTAAACTAAAATCGAACTCGAACATATTGTACGAGAATTTGAATGTTGTGGGAAAAGCTTTTAACTTGCTCGGACCAACTTAATCTGTGCCATTTCCATCAGCGACACGCCAATTTTTTTAAGAATTACTCTTATTCCTAGCAACGAATAGAATGTGGGAAAGAAATGAATGAAACTAGAAAAACAATCAATTTTTCGGGCTATTAAACTCAAATGAATGTGCCAAAGATAAACAATGACAACAAAAAATAAAATAAGAATAGATGAAGCATATATTCTTGTCTATCCTAGTATATTGTATATTCTATAAATTGAGCTACGTATAAACAAACCCCTTGGAATATATGGATAAACATGATTTAGGTGTGGTATAACCAATGAAGTCAATGATGTTACTATTGCCTGCTTATTGCTGCTGCTGCTGCTGCTGTTGCTGTTGCTGTTGTTGATGTTAATGTTAATGCTGCTATTGTAGCTACTACTCGTACATTCATTTTGTTGATATTAAAACAGAAAATAACTAAATAATTTTTGTTGATTTTGTTATTATTGTTATTACTGTTGTTGTTGTTGTTGCTGCAAATGCTTTCTCACAACTACACATCCTTACCAAATTTAAGTACAGTGGTGAAAAAATATTTAAGGTAAAGCATCCATAGAAATGCAAACAAGTATTAAAATGAATTATGATTTCTTTTTTTAAATAACAGAAAAAAATGTTTATAGTTTATTATTTATGTATAATGTTTTGCAATAACCAATGATATATTTATAGTTCTTTTAACAACCTTAATAAATAAATAATACAAAAAAGCACCACTGCCTGAACTTTACAATTTACATACAAATTATATATTAGCAACTAAAAGTTTAAGAGTTCACTATAAATTAGCACTTGTAATACAATGTATAATTATATTATCATATTACAAATGTATTATTTTTGTTTTTATAAATTATACATATTGTAAAAAATAGACAGTAATTAAATATTTTATAGACTTATACACAACCTTATTCGCATACGCACTTATATATTATATACAGAATACTAATCATAATATTGTTTTATAAATCGTTTTATAAATCTTTTTAAATATTTATTTACTCTCTTATTATATTTAATATTATTACAAATATACGTTATCATATTCCACTGTAAAACTTTATTTCATTTTTATTTACATTTTTGATTTGCCCACATTTTATTAACAGGAACCCCACATTTTCCATACCATTTTCTTTACTGTAAATTAATTTTAAATATTTACTTTACACCATGGAAAGCATGTCAATTTGTTTCTTTTCGCATCAGCAGAGTTTCACCCAAATTCCTTAGGTGCTCTATAGTAATTAAAAACAAATTACTGAAAGCTATGCAAAAAATGTTGATAGACGTTTTAATTTAGTCTATAATACAACACATTTTCGATAAAGACAAATATGATATGGACTTTAAATAACAGGAATTTTTACCAAAGCCATCTATTGGCAATCACATGCCTTGATATACATTTGATTTGGTATCGAGTGACTTTTATATTTTGGAAAAAAATGCATTTTTCAATGAATAGAAAGCGTTTTGTGGACATCCGAAAAACACTCGTTCAATACACTTCTACATCGTGCTAAATGCTTTATTGAGTCAGAAGTGAAATATCTTAAAGTAAATAAATCGATTTTACTAAAAAATATTTGTTATTTACTTGTTTAATTTGGAACTCTTCTAGCATATAAGTAGATAGAAAAGGTGAAAGAAATTGACCCTCCTCAATTGGCTACAAAACTTTCCTCATAATTTTGGGGTTAGGGCGATAATAAGCCGGATGCACGATTTCTAGCAAAAAAAAAATAGCACATACAGAAAATTCTAGAAAATGGATTTAGGTAATATTAAATCCACTTATATAACAAAATTTTTGGTGGATTGTTCACAAACACTAGTCCATGCAGTTCTATTGCTGTTATTATTTCTAACTTCTATCTAGTTTTTGTTTTGACGAGGTTGTGGCTCTGAGGACGAGGAGGAGACCGTGCTCCATCTTATATGTCAGTGTCCTTCTTTAGCTAGAAGAAGATTAAAAATATTCGGATCCCGTTTTATCACCGATGTAACTGGGACCTGGTCAAGTTTATAGAACTCTCAGGTTGGTTTTTCTTTATCTAATGGGGAACTCGATACCTTTTTCGGCATTGGCTTGATTTAGATCTGTGTACGTACCAATGCAATTCCTGTGGTACCATAATGGACCATCATTTCAGCTCAAATGACCTTTTTGGAAACAAGGCCACCACTGCATCCTAACTACCTAATCTGCATTCACCTATCTTTATTTCCAGTGTCAGAATGGTTAGTTTTTCGACCCTAAGGCTTTCAGATAAACCTTATAAATTTATTTAGTTTAAATATTCTATATGTAAAGTTATGTAAAAAATAAAAACGATATACTTTGCTTTACTAAATAAACACATATACAAATATTAATAGATTTTTAAACGAAATAAGTTCATTAATATGTAAATTTTACATATTAATTTCGTAACCGAAATTATTAAATTATGAAGCAATAATTAGATTTACACAGGAAGTGTTTTGCATGAGTGTTCGTTCCTTCTTTTAATTGCTTTTATATTCAAAATTAATTTGTTTTTTAATTTGCATATAATTATTATATAAAGTATATATTTTGATATATATTTTCTATTTTTTTGAAATTAAATATTAAATCAATTAAAATTATTTATTTTTATTTTTTTATTTATTTAGTTTTATAGGATATGTTAATATTATTCCATTTTATAGTACATAAAACATTTTTTTCGCAGCCCAATCATATTAATAGCTACTTATCGTGAAGAAATCTACTATGACGGTACCGAAGCGGCGGTATGCTTCACATCGGCGGATACATTTTGGTCGGCATTTTACTTTATATCCAGTATAACGATTTTCTTTATGTTACCGTTCGCTGTACTTGTGTTGCTGTATGTAGCAATTGCATGCAAATTGCTAAGACGAAATTCCGCATTTCATCGACCTACTGCAGCTTCATCAAATATCACTGCCTCAATGAATGAGCGACAAAGTCGGGCCGAGGTTAAGATGCAAAGCAGTCAGCATCAGCAGAGTAATGGTATGCGCAAGCATCGTAAACAAGTCATTTTCATGTTAATCGCGGTGGTTTCGAGTTTTTTCGTATGCCTGCTACCGTTTCGTGCATTTACTTTATGGGTTATAGCCAGCTCTGCAGAAGAAATTGCTGCGATTGGCATTGAAGGATATTACAATATCTTGTTCTTTTGTCGTATTATGTTTTATTTGAATTCTGCATTGAATCCAATATTATATAATTTAATGTCTTCGAAATTTCGTACTGGATTTCGGCGACTTCTTTTATCCTGCTGTGGTGTAGCTGCCGAACAACGTACCAGAAATATAGCATATACTGCCAGCCATCGTGAGGCTCCTAACACATTATTATATGGGGACAAATTTACTCAGCATTCAATGCGTAGAGATACTGCATTTTTTGTTAACTCTATATCAACGTCGTCGCAAGGCACTGATCGCACATCACTGCGTAGCGGAAGCGTGTCAACTGCGCCTTATAATTCCTTCCCCAATGAACGAAACATTGGTGCTGCAATTATTGGCATAACTGCTGCTTCGATTACATCTGCAAATTTACACGATCGTCAGTGGAGCCTACACTGCGCTCAATAACACATTTCCAGCACATAAAATACATACAACAATTTAACAAAATAAGTTATCAAAAATTAATGTTTAATGTTTGTTAGAAAGACTGATGTACCTTCAAAGTCAATAAACTATTCAAAACATATTTTTTAGGTTTTTTGATCAATTATAAAATAATTTTGTTTTAATGTTTATAAGATTTTTAATTTATGTTTCTAATAACTTAAAAACGGTAATGTAATAAACTGGATTTATTAATATTAATAAAACGTGACTAAAATTCTTTATCGTACGATATTTAGATACCACATTATTCAGTAGAAAATTAACACTTTGAACGAATTAAAAAAAGCGCCAAAATACATAAAAATACAAATTTTTTAATTAAAATACGCCTTTTATTTAAATCTTGTATGTGTATTTGATTTTACTTTATTAAATATATTAAACTAATGTTGCAATCTAGTGTACATTACGCAACCAATATAAACAGAATCTTAGATAATCATTATTCTGAAATAAAAATAAAATGTTCAATAAAGTTAATCGAAAATAAAGTAAACCGCTTCATGACACGGTAATACAGTATCTCTTTATATAAGTTTAAGTTTTTTAATTCATTCAATTTAAACTTTAGTTTAAATTTTCCACTTCCTTTGATTCAACTTAAAAAAATTATTATATATTTTTCTTTTTTTGTAAATTGTGTCCATATTGGAATTCGTAATTTTAATAATAATTACCGTCGTATCGTTATCATTTTTATTTATTTATTATTTTATATAGATTTTTGTTTAAATGTTTAGCATAATAAAATAATGTTTCACAGAGTTATTCAGCAGCAACCAGACTTGGTATTCTCCACTGGACGTCCTTGATCAATTTTAACTTTACTAGCGTTTTCAGTAGCACTAGAAGGTGGCCCAACACGATTCTTTATTTCAGCTGCCATCGTCATGAATGCTTGCTCGACATTGGTAGCACTCTTAGCTGAAGTTTCAAGGAATGGAATGCCTAATTGATTTGCATACTCCTAAAATGTTAATACGTAAATTAAAATGTTTTTTCATTTTAATGTAATAAAATAAAATATTACCGCAGCTGTAATGTGATCGACAACTTTTTTAGTAGTTAAATCGCTTTTATTTCCCACCAATAGTTTATTTACATTTTCGCATGCATATCGTTCAATTTCTTCGAGCCACTGTTTAACATTATTAAAGGATTCCTGATCCGTGCAATCATATACAACAATGATACCATGAGCGCCACGATAATACGATGAAGTAATTGTACGGAATCTTTCCTGTCCAGCAGTGTCCCACTAAGATTATTTATATCATATTTTAAACAAAACTCAACATAAATTTCACTATTTTTTATATTAATACTTACAATTTGTAACTTAATTGTTTTACCGTCCAATTCTATAGTTCTTATTTTCTATAAAAAAAAAACACATTGTTAAAATTATATAGTGTTTATAATAATTTAAAAATCATATATAACTTACAAAATCTACACCAATTGTACTGATGTAACTTTCTGTGTATGTATCGTCAGCAAAACGAAGCAATAGGCACGATTTCCCAACACCAGAATCACCAATCAATAGCAATTTGAACAAGTAATCACTGTAATAAATAAATAAACATAGTTAAATCATATTAGTTTACAAGACCCGCAAACACAATTAGTAAATAATAAACTATAATAAATAATAAACTTTTATGGGAATATTAATGTTCTAAATTTAGTGATGAAAATGTATTTATTGGTTAGTTAATCTAAAATCGGTTTCAAGTTCTACGAACTTTTCTTGCAACTGTCGGAAGAATGATTTAGTCAAAAATGACATATAACTCTTTATAACATATGGTATCGTATTTATTCTATATAAAAATTTTGTGATGTTTGTCCACATTAATGAAAAACAATTCGAAATGCCGTTCTATTTTAAACAATATTTCTCATAACAAAGGTGAAAAAAACTGTTCAAACATTTATTGAAATCCCTACTTAAAAAGGTTCTTAATAGAATGTAATACAAATCGTTTAACAGTTATACGTCCTGTGAACAGACACACAGTATGAAATGACTCAAATCCTTATCTATTTAGCTTTTATTTAATTTCGCAATAAATTATATATTTTCTTTATTAAATTAAATGACAATTGACTGAATGACTTCAGATCATATGTGCTTACCGCATGGGCCATTACTTCACATAATCTATTTTTAGCGACAAGTAACTTTATGACTGAGATCGTAACACATATAATATTATATCGAGTATATCTAAACCTGTACATTGGAGACACTATGATATTTTTAAGAAGTTATGAATACTATCTCATGATAATGGTATTGTTGCAGTTGGGAGTAATGAGCGGTACTTGATTATCTGAATTATCTGTAGCCTGTTAATCATACTAAATGTAGGTAACTCTTTGGCCTTAGTAAAACTGGATATATGAACAGAACCCTTTAGAATGAGCGAACAAATGTGGCACAAAGAAGTCAAAGTAAACCCTATAAAAAACACGACTTTCTCACAATTCATAAGTACAACACAATCGATTCGTCATAATCGTTTTGGGCTATCGAGCACAATGGCTATACTAACAGGGCGCTGAATAATGAGTAAACATGCCAATCGGATTCTTAAATCTTCTTGCAAAGACTCCTGTCGCAACCGTTATTCAAAGTAAAAATTCAAAAACGTTATCTGTTTAAATAATTCATCATATCTTAAATCTTTAATGTTTCTACGACATCGCCAATGTATTAATTGAGGACATGGCATGTTTTCGTCAAAATAACATGTATTTCAGAGTTCAGCAAAAAGACATATTCATCTGTATATTACTTTGTAGAATCACAGCAGGATGACTTCTTACAGTTTAAGGCCTAAGGGTTATATATCGGTATCCAACTAAATGATATGTTTATGTCTAAACAACAATATTAACAAAAGAAAATGTATCTTAATGTGCGCCGCCTATGTAGTGTCTACTTTTCAGAAAGAATTCTTTTTCATTTTATTTGCTTGGCATAAAAATTATGGATTATCTACGCATTTTAATTAGAGTTTGCATAATAAAATTAATATGTTCGTTGTTGATAGTAAAATCACATAAGTAATGAAACTTGACGTGAGTTTAATGTTAATAATTAAATTATTTAAAATTTTGAAATAAGTAAACACTATAAACTTTCAGATGGTTGCAAAAATATTATTAATAAATAACAAAACGAAAAGTATTAATTGTTCTGAACATTTTAGTAATCTAGTTGATTATAAAGAACTGTAGTACCCATTCAAAAAATCACTTTTTGTGAAGATCTTATCCATTATTTGTTAGTTTTATTTCAGTTGGCGATTGATTACATTAATTTATTTAACTATATTAACGTTGAATTATACTTTGTAGATTGCAAAAAATTGATGTAGTGATCAAATATTTGTGCAGAAAAAAGTCATAGTCGATATTTATAACCAACAGTTGACCTCATCGATTGAATTAAGAACAAAGAAGGTGACCGTGCAGTGTTTCGGTACGGTGACAAGTCCTAATCTTTTAAAATGCACATAGCATTATTCATAGGGGTTACTCTCCGGTAAAGCAAACGTTTTTTTACAAGTTTGACGTGGCTTTATTGGACCAATAAAATGTATGATAACTTTGATAAAACTTTGTGTAACATGAAGACTTCATGATGTCTTATCAATTTAAAATAATGTATGGAATTTTGAGAGTATGAGAAGTTTCTAGAAGATAAACTAGACAAGGAAAGTAACATAAAGCTAGTTGTACATAACAGCATTGTGAACAAAAGTTTATTTCGTTTACTGGAATTAATAATCACAATTTTTTTATTACATTGGAACAAAGTTTACGCCCAGAGTAACTCATTTATACAGACGATTATCGGAGATTATATATAAACCAGCGGGTTACAACAACAACATTATCTGAGCTCACATCGCCTACCTTTACCGCTTACTTTATAGAAATACGAACACCCGACTGATTAATATTGCTTGAAAGAAGAAACTTGTATTCATCAGCTGTACTGTACTCTACTGCCCGGTACTATACAGAACATGTATTGCCACTTTAGAAATACTCTTCTCCAAGTATGTATCTAGTATTAATAGTACATAGAATAAAGTATTTCTTGAACGTTCAAACTAGTTAAACGTTGGAATTTCAGCAAGTGTGGGCACAACATCTGAACGTCCTATGATAGAACATATCACCGCCTCAAGAAAAACTATAGTATAAAAATTTTGACATTTAGTTAAAAATTAGATTAGGATTCTAACCAATAACTCTGTCTTATCTGTCTTAGGTAATATTCAAAAACCAAAAAAGAAAAGTTTAATATTATAGTAATACTCATATAACAAATAAAGTTAAATTTTAAATAGGATGAGGCAAATAAATTGTGCATAACTCATATAATAGTATTATTATTATAAACCAACTAGCTTCGCAAAACATAGAAATCTCCGTTGCCCATTTACCTGTGCATTTGCCTATGATGTATTGATGACATTTCTGATCACATAAAAAACTTGCTAAGAAATTATTCTTTAAGAAAACATGGATGGTAATGATCTAGAATTGATTTAACGCTTTATTTTTAATACTGAACAACCATTTTTCTTTATGCGTAAATTTCGGAAACAATTGACGGATTCTGTTTACATTTTGTGCTATAAATGAGATGGAAGCATGCATTATATGTACATGTATATGTAATAGTTTTGTGTGTGTGTGTGTTTTAAGTAGTAAGTCAGGTAGAAACGATTAGTTTCAGTATTGTTGCAGAAAAAAGCAAAATATCTGCAAAGATAGAATTTTATTTAGCACTAATTTGTTAAATACTGTTTATAGACACATTGCTATTCAGTTGTCGTACGTGGCACAATTTAAATATTTTAATTTAAAATTACGTACTATAAACAAAGGGCTCTATGATTTGTTTATCGTTCACAACAATGCTGGAAATTCTCCTTAAAAAATATTTTGAAATATATTGCAAAAAAAAATGCTTTCTATAACACATTTTAAGTGAAAGAAATATATTTAAATATCATATTTTAATTCTATTTGTAATATCTAAATTGAAAACAAAATTAAAAATGTCTGTGCCGACGCACTTGTATAGTTTGTATACGTTTTCAGTTGCCTAATTGAAAGTAAGGGGACAGAGCAGGCAGCAAGCAAACAACGCAAAATACAACAGTCATGAACATAGAGAAAAAACAACACAAATACACATATACATACATAGAGAAAAAGCGATTACGTAGCAGAAACACGTCGACGAACATTACTCATCCAACCATCCTATCATGGTTTAAGGAATATTTTATATAAATATTTTTATTTCACGTTAAAATTATATTGACTAAATTAACAATTATAACACAAAAAAAAAAATATTTATATATGTAAACGTCATTTACACCAACTAAATATTATCGTTGCAAAAAGGGAGTAGGCACAAATGACGTAGCAATTTATATTTTATTAATGATACACACAATTAAAATTTTATTGTATATTAAGTATTTTTTTGCACTTACTATTCCGGATTCATAGCCGACATTTTTTTTCTTCAAATTATAGTTTCACAAAATTCGATAAATTTACTTTTTTTATTTAATACGAACACACGCCTTTTTTTCCTTATATTTCAAATTTATATCTCAATATCGTCAAATTTTATTATGCTCTTGAAAAACTAAACTTAAAAGAGCGTAATAAAATTTATTTTCAATGAATAGGAAAATCTTAACTATACTGTCAATAATTTTTTAACGACGACACGACAAAAGACAAAGGCGAAGTGATGCAAATCTAAAATGGTTATAGCTTTCCCTATTTTATAAAAAAATTCACAGCAGCTATCTCTTTCTTTCGGTTGATTAGATCGCCTACTAAACCATCAAACTGTCAATGTTGCATTCAGAGTTCAAAACATTTTTTATTATACTGCGTTTACAATGAGATTAAAAGTAGATTAAAGCAATCATCGCGATGAAAGTACTAGTTGTTTAATTACAGATTTCCCATACAAAAGTTAATCTCGTTTTGGTCGAAATTAATTTTTAATGTCCTTAAAAATGGTGATTATTTTTCTATGCAACTCTGCAAATGTCTTAACATCGTAGATTTTCTTACTATCTTAGAAGAATTGGAAAAGAAAAATCAAAACCATTTCAAAATAAATAAATTTTTTAATAATAATTTTATACATAATTATAACTAAAATTTGTTAAATTTTTGTTACAAAAAAATTTATTAAATTTGTATTATTATTTCTTTACAAAGTTGTAATTAAGTATTTTATTTACAGAAAATTATCAAACACACGATACATAATATAACAAGAGAAATATCAAATTAATCTCGAATGTATAATGTAAACGGTGTAGATTAAATATGTAGATTAACTTAATTAATTCGTTCTCTTAATCTCACAATGTAAACGTAGTATAGAAATCAAAATATGTTGATTTTTTGAAGAAAATATTGTTTAAAAGTATGCATGATTTTATTTTGTAGTGTATTTGTGGTTCAAAATAATGTAGACTGTTTTGATATGTAATAGCAACGACGACAAAAAATGCTCATGTGTAATTCGCGCTTAATAGTAAGCGACGACAAAAAAGTTTCTCATATATAATTGGGGCTTAAGATTAATTTACCTGAGTTAAGAATAAACCCAGAAATTTAATGTTTTGATTATATCAATAAACTAAATAATATATCAATAATCAATAAACTAAAACTAAATAACTTAAATAGCTATTTCAAAAAATATAATTTAAGAATGTTATTAATATGAAGCAATGGCACTTTTATCGTATTATGTACTAATAAGGTAACACAAATTTTATTAATTGAACATATTATATACACAAAAAGTTTTTAAACTAAAGTTTACACTCAAATTTGCGCATTTTAAGTTATTTAATAAAAAACATTAATACTAATTAATAGTTCATATTAATAATAATGATATTAATTTATTAGAAATTAAATTTATATATAATGCTGAGGAGTTATTTCATTTGTAATTATGAGCAAAAAATATATGAGTGCATAAATATGAAAATATATTTCCCTACATTAATATTTGCTAAATATGCTAAATGTTTAATGAAACTATCATTTTGGTTATTTATTTCCAATCTTTATTATAATTTATAATGGAAAATAATTGCAATAATGTGACAAGATCACATTATAAGTGTTTGGTAGTTATTAGACACAATTTAATTAAAGAAATGCAAAAATGTCCAACCTATAGATAGCGGATATATTGATATACAGCATAGTGGAAAAAGTAGAGTATAATAACAATCTTTATTAAAATCTATTGTTAAATGGGCGTACATGCGAAAGCTGAATCGTAACAAAATTGTGATAAAAAATTTAAAATTAAATCTACATTTCAAATTCAAAATTAAATAAAAAAAATCATAAAGGACAATCTATTGGGGTTGCTAACTTTACAATCAAAAACAATATTAGATGCATTGACAGTTTAATTTTAAAACTTTACCGAGAACAAATTTTAAACTCTATTCAAACGTTGTAACACAAGTGATAACCGATTTATATCTGAATACCCCTATTATATCACCATTCAAAACGATAACTATGAACATGAATTATTTGTTAACTATGAATTATTTGTTATTCGTTGATCCTTTTTTGCGTCAAATTTCACGAAATATTAAATCTCAATTAAATATTTCATAAACAATCTATCCCTATTTTTGAACTCATGTAAGCAAACAGAAATAATTGAAATGTTTGTTTATATCCTAACATTGGCTTCAAATCAAGTAGTGTGTGTTACGTTCAGATTGCAGGTTTTATAGTTTTATTTTTTCTAATTTGATATATTTTATAGGAGATGCGAAATTGAAAACAATGTATTTCTGTTGATACATGTAATTGTAGACAAAATAATTATACTGATTTAAATATGTTTCAACATCGTGTCTGGGGTCTTCAAATCAGTATATATACAAACAGTTTGAAAGACACTGTTGAACAGCTCAAGTATTAACTACACAAATTACAATACGATATATCTTCGTATGTTGTTTGTTTTCAAAACACTTTTTTCTCAGAGGTACAAAAATCAAAATTTTGGATTAAATGTGTTTAATTTATTTTTATACTATTTGAACTAAATAACATGAGTACTTTCTTATTTTAGTAAATAATCATACGTGTACATATATAATAATACAAGCCAGAGATTTCATATACAATTTATAATTTATATTCAAACGTTAATAGTATTGCAAAGTGTAGGTTAAATTAATGGTAAAGCACTTTAAAGTGCAACTGGAATGAACATTTATTTTTACTCTAAGGAATTTAAAGTTAACAATTGTTTCAGAACTTTAGTCTGTGATGTTTCTCGTATTTCTCCTGCTAAAAACATTTCATCAACTACCGTGTACACTTTGTAAAAATTAAATACAAGATCTAGCTCACAAACATTATGAAAATATTCATTTAAAACTTCTACGAAATTGTGTATCGCTTCTAAATAGCACAGATTGTTATCGTTGACATCTACACAAATGCAAAAGTATAGTCCAGCGTACCTTCGATACACGATTTTAAAATTTCTAAACTAAAATAATGTATAAGTAAATATTTATTTCCATCGATAAGGTAGTCGTAAATTATAACTTACTTCTACAAAATTGGTGTGTTTTGCATCACGAACTGTGACTACTGCATGAACTTCCTCAATCAATTTCTGTTTCTCGTCGTCATCAAAATTCATGTACCATTTAGCTAGTCGAGTTTTGCCTGCTCGGTTTTGAATAAGGATAAATCGGATCTATAAAAATATCTATATAATATTCATGATCTTCAAAATAAATGGGCGTATTTACCATTTTTTACAATTCCTTAATATATTTACAATTTGACCCTTATCTTTACTTGCAGTTTAATAAAAGCAATAAATTGTGTATCATTGCAGCTTTACAGTGTTGTAAAGCGTGAAAAAAATGAAAAAGTAGTATAAACTGGAATGTAAATTTTTATAGTTATTTATTATGTTATAGTATTATGTTAAGAAATGTTTATTTATGTTTTTTAAGTGCAAGTTGCTATTTTAAGGACATAATGTATACTCCTAATAATAAATGATATTTTAATTTTTGATATACCAATCCTTTTATAATTTATTCAAACTATAATGATGTATTGTTTAAAAGAAAAATTAACTTTCAGGTACGCACAGTTGTATAAAAAATTTACAAAAAATTGTTTTAATTACATATTATCACTTAATATTCATTATTTAATTATATGCGAGGGTATATAAAAGAAATACATCACTGCACAGTTTACTTTATTATTCTTTGAACAGCTGCAGGTTTCACTTATGGCATACCATTTCTAAAAATATTGAAACATTTCATTTAAATCTTACGTGAATACATACAATAAATAAATCGTTATATTAAAAATGTTAAAAAATTTAAATACTTTCACTCGATTTGGCAGACAAATTGGAAGAAACTTTTCATCAGTTACAGCCACATCGTCTAATGCAAAAGAAGATATTACTCAAGTTCATGACTTTTTACAGGAGCAAGCTTTAAAAGAAAACTGCATTTTAGTTGACAATGAAGATAATGCAATTGGTGCAGCATCTAAAGCTGATTGCCACCGTGTTGATAAAAAGACTGGTGCAGTAAAATTACATCGAGCCTTTAGTGTTTTTCTGTTTAATGAAAAGGGAGAAATGCTTGTACAGCGACGATCTGTGCACAAGGTTTGTTCACAATAAGGTTTCTTTAATGAATAAAATTCAAATTTAATATTTTAATAGATCACATTTCCGGATACATATACTAATGCTTGTTGTAGTCATCCATTGTTTGACATTGAAAATGAGCGTACCGAAGAAAATGCCTATGGCATTCGAAGGGCAGCACAACGCCGTTTGAATTACGAACTGGGAATACCAACCGACCAAATTGAACCAGACAACTTTCACTTTTTGACACGTATTCATTATGCAAACACAGGTGATGGCAAATGGGGTGAACATGAAATTGACTACATATTATTTTTGCAGAAGGATGTTGATTTGCAGCCTAATAGTAATGAAGTGAGCGATATTAAATTCTTAAAAAGATCTGAAATAGATATGGCAGTCTCACGTTTCGATGCGCCCTTGACCCCTTGGTTTAAACTTATATTACATCATCGGCTAAAAACTTGGTGGGATAATTTACATCAATTAAATAAATTTGAAGATCACAAAACCATACATCGCTTTGCATAAAAAAAAATTTAAAATTGAATGCAGTGTGAGATGCCAAAGAGAAAACAAAACAAACAATGGTTTTGGTGTTAATGCAGAAAGACCTCTAAAAATGAATCTGGAAAAATTGTTTTATTTCATATTTTTATTTATGGTAATTTTAGGTATCAGTGTAAATAAATATGTATGGATATGCATATGTAAATATAATAACAATAAATAGCGTTTTAAATGATCACATTTAAATGATGCTTATTGAATAAGAGTTTGCGAATTATAAGTTCCGCATAACAAAAACTATTTACACATTTAGTACAAATTAGCATTAATTTTTATATCTTAATTAAGACAACAATCTGCAGCATTGTATTCTTTGCTAATTAAAATCATGGACGCTTATAAAGCTTAAAAAAATAGTACGACGCATTGATTCAAACATATATAAATAAATTATTTAATATAACAAAAGCAACAGTAGTAAAAACACAAATCAATTAAACCCTATGTGTTTATAGTATTTTAAGGAATCAATTGCGTCGCTTATAACACGTATTTTAAGTCTTAGCCTAGTAGGTATTCCAAATACTTTGGTACACCAACATTCGAACAATGTACGTACATTATTATGAGTATATAAATCGCATGCTTTTATATCGTAGTATTTGTCGTTGTTAGTAATAAATTCAGGCAAGAATGCCCGATTTAAAAATAATAAGGCACTTATAAAGTCTTGTGTTTGTCGATTATAGTATATAAAGTTGCAGCAGTACTTTTTTATAGGTGACAAATCAATTTGGCACTACGGTTTCAAAACAAATTAATTAGAGCCACTAGTACCACTTTATTTCAAATCGTTGGAAAATGCGCATTTTTGCACATTGAAAGCCCAACCCACTTTTTCCAGTATAGTATCTAGGAAAGCCCAAATAGTTTAAGAGCATTGAATGCAGTAGCCAATGCTACTTCATCGGGTGTTTTATTCATAAATGCAGCTATCATCTCCACAATGGCTGGTAAGCTGCAAGGTTCATTACGTTGAAAAGTGCAATACCTATAGAATTTAAATTTAATTTTGCAATCACAATTGTGTGAAAACATGTAAATTTTAAAAAGTGTTTACCTATGTAAATACAGTAATGAACGTTCCGTTATGGCAGTCTTGACGTTTTGAGGAAGCTTAGAAGCTCTCGTATTTGGATACATAAATGGTGAATCAGTTTCGACCAGCAATCTATCTAATGGTATTGTACCATCCTCCAGCAGTTTACGGACTCCTGTATCTGATTTGTCCTACAAGGTAATATTTCAATATTTGCTTATTTATTTTTTTTTATACCTATATAGTATTATTATAAAACAATATTAAATACATATTTCCGACTACGCTTAACTTCTAGACAGTAATTAAAATATAATTACTCTTATTTTCTTAATTGATTAAAATCACAACTAATGAACTTAATCAAAATTAATTACCATTTATATAAAGGTTTAAATATATACTTATACTTATATACATTATTGTTTTTAGTTTTTAATCCAACCTTCGAACCTTAAAGCTGGAATTACCTTGCATAAATAACCAGTGAGACTTATGTAAAACCTTCTATTTAAATATTGTATTGCCTCATCACATGTACCCATGAACCCTCTGATAATGATGGCAGGCGGTAAGTGTTCGAATCTAAATAAAAATAAATGGGTGTGAATACTGAATTTAAATTTATAGAAATTCATACTCACTTATCAAGTATATCGAGAACGTCTTTCTGTGCTGATCGTTCATGTATAAGAAGAGCTTTCCCCAAACTACAAGCTAGATTAATTTGTTTTTCGAAGATTTCTTTTTGAACTTCTGGTTCTGAAAAGTCCCGTTGATAGTCAAGGCCACACGGGCCGATTGCCACACACTCTTGGGATTCTGCTATATGTGTAAATTCAAACCAACTTGTTGGTTCTTCTATTATTGATTTTGAGTCGTGAGGATGTATGCCAGCAGTCGAGTATATTATATCGGGATATAAACGTGATAAGCGTAAGGCTTCCTTACTTGATTTAACAGAAGTACCGGGAACCATAATTTTTTGAACACCTAATAAATTATTAGAATTAATTTTTAATAATAATACAAAACAAATTAAAAATAAACAACAGAGGTGATACGCAAATGAAGCAGTGACAAAAAAAATATCTTTATTATATATATATATATAAGTACGTATAAAATGTATTTGTATTTGGTTTTTGATATTTTTACCTGCATCTTTTGCTCTTTGTATGACCGATTCCAAGTCTCTGCTATATTTTTTATTTGTAAGGTTTGCACCAGCATCAATAACAATTAAATTATCAAAACAATGTTTTAGTTCTAGGGGTAATGGTAAGGAAGACTCTTCGACTTCACTGCTTAATATATTATTGTTCGATTGTGATGCCATGCTTTATCTGTGTATTAGTGCCCTTGTATGTTTATCAGTTATGCTTTGTGCGTTACGGAAATAGGAATGACGAAATATTTGAAGATAAGAAGACGTACAAGACAAATGTCTTATATACTTTCGAAGAAAATATTTATTAGAAATACAAAAATCACAAACAACGTTTTTTATGAAAGATACACTCGAATAATTAATTATTATTTACAACTGAAACTAAAAACAATAAACTCGACTGCTGGCGAAAAACAACTGCTCGAAGAAGAGCAAAGAAAATATCTCTAAAGATGCCACAGGTGTGAAATGAAAATACGATGATACTTTCTTATAAGTGTTGTAAAATGTTGAAATTTGCAATGTTAAACAAAATTTTTCACTATGGTAAATTGAGGGAAAAAGTAAATTATGTCAGTAAGACAGCGAATGTTGGTATTTACCAGAATTTCGAGTATAGTAAATTAGATAACAATTAGGTAAATTAGGTGTTACCATTGTGAAAATTTTATAAGATGTTTAATAAATAAATTTGAAAACTTTTAAACAAAAATAATAAATAAGTCCAATAAATAAATAAATAAATATTTATATAAGTGCAGTGCTAATAATTCCTAGGAAATTTCAATTTACCATAATTTACTCGAACTCGTAGTTTTGAGTCATTGCTACTTGATTAATGGTGTATCAGCTGATTGTTGCTTATCTACTTGATTGAACGCAGTAGATCAAGTAAATGTTTAGCTTTTTTTTGCAATATTGACTCGTGAGTCTATATTCTATAGCTCGGACCTTGGTATTCATTAATTTTTTATTTACAGCTTGTTTTTGTGAAATTATCAATAATAATAATATATAATAAACAGTAATAAAAAAATTGCAACATAAAATCGTATATTGCACATATATTTGAATTGGTTACCCATTTTCTGGTTTTGAGAATCAATGTTAATAAAATATACTTGCAATTTTCCATGACTTTTTCAAACACAACTTGAAACAATGCTATCAAATCTAGATCATGAAATGGGTAGCTTTTTATTATATAAAATTATAATTATTTTTTTCCGAAGGTTTCTAATTTTTTGAAATTTTTCTGCGCTATTTTTACTTAGTTACTGTGATTCTGTGTGTAACTGCTTATACATATAAGTAAACAAATTCTATGCGCCCCTAACCTTGCAAATGAGTATATATACCACTGGGCATTACGTGAAAAATTAAGAACGCGAAAATATGGGCGGCCCAATCGGTCATTAATAACATTTTATTAATTTGTGCGAAAATATGTTTATGTGATTGGATCGATCGGTAGTTATGTATATTTCCATGTTTTGCAAACGCTTTCGATGATATATCAGTCTGTTTGCAACTGGGTATTGTCTAAATGATCGTTGAACATTTGATAAGAATAATCCTTTACCAAAAAGCAATTAAGATTATTTGTAAAATAATAAATGAATATCGATAATTGCATATGTTTATTCTCGATTTAATTGCTTTAAATTTTTTTTACAAATACGGTGTTCAATGATCGAAGCTTACTTGATCGTCTTACTTGCTTAACTACTATATTATTGCTAAAAAGCAAAGAAATATTATATTATCATAAAATAAAAAACGTCGTATAACTTAAAGGGGATTTTCTTTAAAAAAATATGCATTTTTGTATTTATAAGTACGATATATTAAAAAATAATTCTTGAAAGGTTGAATTATGTTTACTGTTTATATATTTTGACTTTTTTAAAATAATATTAAATAATTATTACAAGTAAACAATAATATTTTTAATTAATATAAATGTATTGTTTTAACTCAATATACTTATATAATATATATACTAAATATTTTATTTGAAAACATTAGTTAATAGCTATAATATTGTTAATAATATTCATCTAACATTATATAAATATGTATATTAGTGTATTACTTTTATATTATCCGAAATGGTCCTTTATTATAAATCTGATCAAATTTAAAATAAAGAACTATTCAAGCAATTCACAAGATGAACTTTTTTTTTTAATTTTATATAATTTTTTACTAAATGTGTTTTATTCCAATATATATTTTATGTTTTATAGTTGTTAGCATATAAAAATAACATATAAAAATATTTAAATGGCATGTATTTCCAGTTTAACGACATTACGTACGAAAAACTTCTATTATTATGAAAATTTATGTCCATAATTATTACAAATCTGATTATTATTGTTATTTTTTTATTATTTTTATATTATTAGGGAGTGGTAAATTTTATAAGAACCATACCTTTCAAATCATTTCAATGTAGAGATTTATTGTTTTATTTTGAATTCAATTCTTAAAACATTTTGTGATTAATCATTATGATTAAAGAAATTACAATATTGATCAATTATAAACAAAATATTTTTAAAATACAATATTTATTTAATGAAGAAGCTTGATATACTTTTATTTGACTCTAGTCAATGTGCGATTATTTATTATTATTATTTTTTAAATGTTCAATTTTTCCCAATTTATTTGAACATTTCATTTTATTTATCTAAATTAATATTCATATATTAATAAATTCTTTATAAGTGTAATACGTATAATATAATATTTGTTATAAATATATTATTATAAGGTAGAATTATTGCTTATCCAAAACGAATATAAATATATAAATCGTAAGAATTTTTAATAAAAAAATTTTATTTAGTAGGTACGTTTTATTTAGACCTCGGTGTTTAAATATATTTTTACTGGACAGAACGCGAATTTTCAATTCGCTCATTTTTCATACATTTCTCTAGCAACTTTCTTCTTTTAAAAACAAACTATTAAAATATTGGTTTAAGTATTATTAAATATATTCTAGCAAATAACAGTTAAAAAACAGTGTATCCCAAAATTTTGTGAAACTCTTACAAAATATCACCAATAAAAACCCTAATTTAATTGGTTTCTACAACATTCATTATCTATTCTTAGTGTAGGATATGTAAGAAACACTATACCCAAAGTCTAGCGTGTTTGCTGTTAACAAGGTCTTGTGTATTGTATATTATTATATATTTTATATAATTATATATATATATTAAAATTTATTTTTGTTAGTAACTTATTCATAATATTCCATATTTCTACGTGGTGAAGGTAAGCCATTGCTATTCTGTGAATCGGTTTTCTTTAATATTGAAACATGATGTCCAGTACTTTCACCTGAACGATTTGGACCAGCAAAAATTGAGTCTTGTTTATTGAGTAAACCTCGCTTCTGATCTGCAAATGATATAACAGAGTCCTGCTTAACAAGTTGATGTCTACGTGGTTCTAAGATCCAAAGAGAGAATACATAATTACAATTTAATAATAATAAAAAATAAAATTAATTGAATTACCTGGGCGTTGATCCACAAATGAAAGCACAGAATCTTGTTTCACAAATTTTTGACGTTTGTATTCTAAAACTGAACTAATGCTAGGAGAACCGGCATTGATACCACGTCTATAATCATTTGATATGCATTCTTGGGAAGTGGCAAAGCTGTCTTGAGAACGATCTTGATTGTGTGTAATTTGAGTTGAGCGTTTTATTTCTATATTATAGGAACCATTACTATCTTGTTGGCATAAAAGTCGTCTAGATCCATCACTTGATGCACTCTCCTGTTTGATCAGAAGTTGTCGAGAACCATGTGAATCTTGTTTGAGTAACATTTGTTGCGAAAGATTGCTGTCTTGTTTTACTATAAGATTATGTCTACGCAAGGAATTATGTTCGTATATGTAGGAAACATTATTTTTACGTAGACCGGGACTGCTAGGACTCTTGCGAGAACCATTGTGATGATAATGAGAAGATTTGCGTGTACTCGTTGTTGAAGAGACTATGGCAACATTATCATAATATCTATAACATATTGTAATTTATTTTAATAAATTTATAAAATAAATTATAAATTTCTTTATAACAGATCTTTTGTGACGATTTCTAAGCTATATATACAATATAACGAATATTTACGTACCTTAAACGTCCACAGCAGGATCGTGACTTAATAATAGCGGCAAAGCCTCGGCGGTATTTTTTATTGAAAAATGCATATAATATTGGGTTGATGCAAGAATTGGATGAACCTAACCATTGTGCGAAAGGTGTAACCTTGTTAAGTATTTCACTTTCCTCTATAGAGATTTCTCCGCCTAATAGAGGTATTAATACATTTTCATATATTTATTTAATATACTAACTATCCAATATATATATATAGTAAATATGTTGTAAAAATTTTATATTATCATCAACTATTACAAAAATCAACCATTTAAATAATTAAATATTTCAGTTCTCAACAATATTTTGATTTCTGCAATATAAGTTTATGATCTTACCAAATTTTATTCTAGCGAAGATGACGTAGAGTGGCAGCCAAGAGAGAACAAATAGTATTACGACAGCAACAAGCATTTTAATAACTTTCACTTTAGACTTTTGTTGCATGCGATCCATTTGTGCATCTTTAGAGTCACCTGGTATAGAACGTGTTGAGACTTTTATCCATATAAGTACGTAGCATAAGGTTATGAGTGACATAGGTAACAAATAGCAAGCTACTAAATGTGCTAATAGAAAATATAAATTGCCATTGGTTCCAGGAGGCCATACTTCTATAATCAGTAGTTGTAATTAAAGAAATAAGGAAAACCAATTAAATAAATTATCTTGATTAAATTTGTATTAACCATAGATAATTACCTTGACATAGATATAAATCCGGTGCTGCCGGAAATGATTCTGCTGCTGGTACCAAATCAAAGAATAAAACCCAAGGTATAGTGGTGCCAAAAGCAATAACCCATATACAGAATATCATAAAGCGAGCACGACTTTTTGTCATTTGCTTCAATGGCCACCAGATGGCAATAAACCTAAGAAAAGTAATATAAAAATAAATGTAATAGGTAATATTATGATATACATTACAACCTGAACAAATGTTTTTTAAAATGGCAAACTTGATATACAATGACATCGTTATAGTTTTTAATAAGTATGTATAGAATATGATAGAGCTCTGAACTTCCATTGGAACGAGAAAAGAATAAATTTACATATACTAAAACCCTTAGTTATGGTATAATGAATCGTAGTTAAAAAAAAAAAATTATTAAGCACCTAAATGCAATATTACCCTGTATTAATTATGGAGATCTTTGAGATTTCTCGTTATATGATAGTTAAGTTAGGTAGCAGTGGCGTCCCTTGTGCACAAAGCCAATATGACCTCAAATAATGGCCCGTTGTGATAACACCGATTAGCGTTGTTCATATGCTAACAATGACTCCCCCATTCAAGTGAAAGTAAACTAATGTGAGAAGTCTATAAAATTGGCCAAACCTCCAACTTTACAGGGTGACAATTCGGTCAGGTCGTTTTTATGCGACCTTTCGCATAATTGAAGCAGAATAGATTAAAGCAGAATGACCAATCTAACAGAACGGTTCATCTACCCAAGTTTGTATAGCTACTATATGCTCAGATATAGAATTGTGATAAAAATATTACTTATATATCTATCACTAGTAATAAATATTAATATGTATATTATAGGGGTATTTACATAGGCTTCTAGAGTAAATCTAGAGTAACTCACTAAGCAGCATGGAAACAGTTTTACTAATCAAGTCATTGAATAAAGTCTTAAAGATCGGTGGTACTCGTACCAATATGTTAGAGGATAAGCTGGAAAATATAAGTATTGTATGAATTATCAAACGATTGTTAAACTGATTGACTACATAATGTTGTCTATTACTTTTTTTGCCAATAGGTTTACCAATCTCTACTTGTCAAGCTCAAGCATGAAACTGACTGAGTTTCTTAAAATAATTCAACATGTCATAAGATTTAACGGGTTTCTCGGCAATAATTAACTGGTAATACAAATGTCGTTCACAATCGAGTAGGCATCGCTGATGTTAAAAAAAAAACTGTAAGTTAATTGATTTAAAACTATGTGATGACTTTTTGACGTGATGTAAATTTGTATTCATCAAGCAGATTACCATGATAAGCAAATTTTGATATTAATACTATGAGATTTATAGATTTAGATACATACGTTCATACATATGAAACTGTCGATTTTAATTGGAATATTTCGATTCTATGAAATGCAAATATTGTGATTTTTTCGAAATACTCTACTTGGTCAAGGAATGTAACAAATTATTTAACAAGATGAACTTGATCTTGTACGCGAAAAAATTAATATTTATAATAAAATGCGTTAACGCATATTGAAACCTTCTTAATAACAACAAAACAAAAAATATCAATATATATATATATGTATATGTATATAACTTTATGTATGCACATATGTAAGTGCATATGAACAAATTTTATATTTGCGTAAATATGTTTAGAGTAAATTTTTGAAATTTGCTACATTGAAAAGCTGTAAATCTCCTTGAGTGCCACCAACTGCGAGCGCTATTTGCCAGTCAACGTTTGCGTTATTATAAGGTTAACCTTTAGCTGAGTTGATATATAAATTAATTAAAATAGAAAAATAATGCATAAATACATATTTGAAATTAATTCTAAAACTCGTAAATTCAAATTCTGACTATAAAAGCATTTGATTCATGACAGAACGCAATCAGTTGCGAAATATTAGCGTTTAATAAAAACTTTAATTAAAATATTTTTGTAAATAAACAACAAACAATAAACAATCAGGATGTTCAAAATTGTACGTATTTGTTGTAGTTGCATTACAGGACATTTTGCATAAACATTTTTAAATTTTTGTTGCAGTTGTTGTTGCTTTCCGCTGTTTTCGCCTACACTTATGCTGGTGTTGTAGTGGCTCCCGCCGTGCCAGTAGTACATCATGTACATGGCGCAGTTCATCACCCCCCAATAGTGCATCATAAGGCACATGCAGTGCACTCGTAAGTAACGTTTAACATATTTAAGATTTAGCACAGAGTACAGAATGATTCCACTATAACTAATAATATTTCTTATATTTACGTAGTCATGTCATTCATCATCCCGCTCCTGTGGTGAAGTCTGTTGTTGTGGCTAAACCAGTAGTACCTGTAGTTCCTGTAGTGAAATCAGTTGTCCCAGTAGTACCGGTTCATCACGCTCATCACGCTGTTGTCGCCCATCATTAAAGCGGATTATTAGAGAAAAACATGTATAACATGTGTAACTTCTATGTATACAATTATGAGTATTTTACCAACTGCGGTGACATAAATTTCACCAGCATTAGACATTTTTTCCCAAAAAGTTTATAAAATGCCCTTCTTCCTGAATAAATTCCAAAATGAAAAAAGTTTTCAAGTTCTTTCGCAACAATGTCAAGGTTGTTTTAGGCTACGTTTTACTATGGGTCAAGTGCAATCATGGTTGCGCAATTATCAATAGCATTACCTGTCGAGTGAGACTGCAATGAGGCTGTAAACGGAGGCAGCTACAGATACTCCTTGAATGTATGGAACCGTTTTACACATCAACCAGCCAAGCATCCAAGCTGCAATAGAAAAGTACCAAATTAGAAAAATAAAAAAAAAATATATAAATGCCATTAAATTGTTAAAAAAAAGTAAGGCAAAGGCAAAAAAATGGTTATTTGCTGTTTGAGATGTTAAACATGCCGCCAATTTCTCTGGCTCAACTCAACTCAAGAGCAATTAACTCTATTTTGCATCTGTGCATCTGTGCTGCAACCATGACAAGGTTCTTTCTGATTTTTGAAGGTTGGCCGTGTTTGTAAAAAGCTGACATTGGTCTGTTCGATAAAAAAAATTTGTGCTTCTTGTTTCTACACAAAATATTTAAGGAGATAAACGCACATTCAAGAGGCAGGGAAGCTTAAGTGTAAGCATCACTCTCAAGCATCCTTATGTGCCGCGCGCATTTTAATAAGGCTGTGTAGGAGACTGTAGAAGAGATGTGAAAGGTCAAAGTCAATTGATAAATTCGAGGGAAAAAAATGGAAAATAGTGCGTTGTTAGCACTGTTAAGACAGTGTTTTTGTAGAATATACTGTTTGTCAGCTCACATTTCATAAGATTTGCAAATGATAAAAAAACTGTAAGGTTTAGCTTTCATTCATTTTTAACTACATTTGCATAACCAAAATAAATTTGCAATGATTTAATTGTTCTTTTTTTCTTGATGAAAAGCAGATTAGTGTCTAAAGCACTTTTAATCAATAGTGGTTGTGACCACTTGAGTGATCCACTCTACCAAGAGCTAAGCTAGATTAAATTATCATAATAAGTTATTCTAGTGAATTTACAAAAGTATATAGTCTGAAAATCAACTTATCTACCTGATGGAATAAATAGTAAATTTGATTTAAGAGAGTGCAATTCTGAATTAGAGTGTACATCCATAAAATCAGACAATTTCAGCCCTATGCCTTTGATATACTTTTGCACAGCTTTCATTATGAAGTTTTTATTTACATCTTCGTTTTTGATATGCCATTTCTGAGCTTTTGAAGCGGAGTTTAAAGTTTTCTAATGGTGGATAAAGCAGTATTACAATAAAAAGTCGAATATTTCAATATTGTTTAGAAAACAGAATATTATTTTTCATACTCAACTTTTCTTGGGTTAATGGTTTCAGAGCATTCAGACTTATATTACAAGCCGATCCATTTATTCTCTATCCTAGTGTATCTTCTGTCAAACGTTAGACCTATATATTTTATACTATTTTCCCATTCAAATTCTACATGTAATCAGTATTATTCGAAACAAACTGGTAACTCGAATACATAACGGGCCCTGCGAGAAATTTAGGACCAGAAATTTTATTGGATGATTGTGGTCAATCATTACATACATTTATGAATTTTATTGTCCTTGAATTTGATTTCTACGTTTAGTAATAATTATAGCATTCATTTCTTAATATTTGCTCTATTTCACCACTTTCGAAAGTACCTCATTATCTTATCAATTAGAAGTTGTGAATTTCACAACAGAATTAGCATTTTTGTCCACTTGTATAATGCTGGTGTTGTCAGCACAGAGCAAAATTGTGTTATTAGATTCCTGACCAAAATCTGTTGTATTTAAATAATACAATAAAGAAAAGATAGTGGGGATCGTTGAGGGACGATCGCTTTTATTTTTTTCAAAAAATTATTAAAAAAAAAAATTAATTACGATATACTAGATCAAAATCCATACGCAGAATATCGCACATCTTTAGCAAACATCTGTGTACTCTTACTAGGTACTATATCACCTGCAAACTTAATCCAAATAAAACGTCAGCAATTGCACTAACGGGGAGGCACTAACAACTCTATTCCTCATATTTTCCAGATTGTTAAGTACTCCTCTTTTTGGCACATCCAACTCAAAAACTCCCTGCTCAGGTATAAACTACTCTACATTAAGACTACTTTCCTACAATCACTCTTTATTCAAATGCTTGAATATGAAATGTTTGAAATGTTTGTGTGCTTTTGAGAGGAGTGTAGTTCGTGACATGTGTTACCTACAGATACAAGCCCAACGGTCAACACCATAATTACCATTATCTCCCACTGATATTCTGCACTCTTAGAAGTTTCACACTGAGATCCTCTAAGTTTCGCCGCACATTTAGGTTGTTTAATTGCGGATATAGAAATTCGCTCCATAGAATACACTCCTGAAGAGTGTTAAACTTTTCTAGACTCCTATTATTAACGTATATTATGTTCTAGCTCCTAGAACATCTTGGTCTTGCGGACAAGACCATTTTACAACACCATTTTAGGCGGCGAGTTTGCAACTGGTGACACCACAAATTTATATGATATGGTTGAATATGTTTGATATGTTTATTTGTCTTTCTTTATTCTTAATTCGTATGGATGTCATACGAATAATTTTGTTTTGGTTGATGGTTTTGTTTTCGTACCAAAATCTTATACAGATTGTATTATTGTCAAAAATATCATTTTAAGTGTCATTTTCTTTAAATAAATACATTTTCAAATCAAAAAAATTAAATTCTATTGATTTAATTCAGTTTATTATACAAAATTCAATATCGTATTGTATTCTTACATAACAGCCAGTTTATTTATTTGTTTATATTTAGTGCTATCAATTTGTTGACTTGACTATGTTGAAAATATTGTGTACATGTTAGAAGGCTTGCTGAAGAACTCATTGAGCAAAATATTTAGGTCAATTTATCGAGCCGCAAATAACCCTGAGTGTCAACCGTTAACAACCTTCCAAACTGTTTTAAGGCTGAAGCTGTGCTTAGATAACAACACAACAAAAACATTAGCAGTGCCATTACTCTTATCATTACCAATCACCTTCTCTTCTTCTCACATGTTACTCATAAAACACCATCTCCACAAAACACACCACACCACACCGCCATTGTCATCGTCATCGCCATTACCATCACCAACGCCAACGCTACATTAAATAGTGCATTTTATACCATAATAATGTAAACAAAGTGGTTTATATAAATATTTACTTTTTCGCGTATATGCTTTTGTATGCATTTATATACTCATACATACATACACATATATAATAGAAGTATGCATAAATAAGAAATAGACACTAGTTAGAATATTTATGCATAAAAGTGACTTTGATTTCTATTTCAAAAGTAGAGCCAATGTAGTAAAATTTATTGAAAGTTTATATCATTTTTGCCATCAACAATCTAGTCATTGTATTTCTTTCTTTATTTCTTAACTCAAGTAACCTTAAAAGCACTTGACGACTTGTTGGTGCCTTGCAAACGTAGCACATGTTTACTTACAATGCACACAGGCTGCAACCCAATAAGTGGAAAATAGAAATTTTATTCTATAAAGCAAAAAAACAAAAACAAAAACGAAAATAAAAAAGAACATAACTAATAGTCACAGTATTGTACTCTCTTCGTCAACCACCTGAGACAAGACCCCACACACACACTAATATATCGCACAAACGCACAACTACAAATTGCTCTTAACAAACACTTTTACCAACATTAAATCAACAAACAACCTTATTCCACCCATTGACCTACAAAAGTTATGCCACACACAACACATATAACATACACACAACTTAATATACAAACACGTACAAAAACAAATAAAAACGTTTATATCGTAACACTCATACATATACATTTGTAAACCTTGCGCCTAAGTTGAAATTGCGAAATTAGGTCAGTACTGTGTCGATGATCCTTTTGGCCTATGCAAAGGATGCCACTAAAATTCGTATACAAGCGCACTATAGCACCTATACTTATAAACCTTCATAAACATTTGTGCAAACATGCATACAAAATGTGCAGAGCTTTTATTTTCACCACACAACAGAAGAGCAAAGTAAAAACAAAAAAAAACAAAAAAGTATAAAAAGAAAGAAATCAACCCTCAACCATGTTTAACTTGATTTTTGAAAAAAAATGGTAGAAAATTTTATCAACAACTACAAAAACAACTACATACATGAACGCCTGAAGTTTTGAAATTGCAAAAAGTTTAAGTTTACTTGTGGGTTACGCGAATAACAAATACTCGTATACATCGAATTATTAATTCTTTTTTCATCAATTTATTTGAAATTGGTTGTAATTTTTTATATATTTTAAAGTCTTTGACTTTGTCTTTAAGATAAAAAAATTTTATTTCTAGTTTCAAGGAACTCTTATACTCATATATAGTATATATTTCTTATATATATAGCCCATTATCAATGTAAAGAATCGTAATATACGTAGAGATTGTGAAGTGAGTATAATAAACAAAATAAATAAGAAATTTTCCTACTGGAACTAATTTTATATATCCATTTCTAACTACAAAAAGTTAAGCATTCCAGTAATTAGAGGCAGACGGAAAGCTCTTCAAAGTCAATGTTCAGCAAGGTGTGATTTATTATATGAATGCAGTTGGATAGATTTATTTTGTGCTAGAATTTCTAGTACATAAGGTTACTTCTCTGCAAGGTACAAAAATAATTGTGGCCAATATCTTATTTCATTTGATCGAAAATTAAGATACTAGTTTACGTAACTTCCTTCACGTAACTTCCAGTTGGGAAGAAAATCGAAATGTCACCGAAAACAACTTCTAGAACAGAGTTATAAGCAACAAATTATTTTTTCTTATGTGGATAATTACCATATACTCTTCGGGATGTTTATTTTTATAAAGAGACTGATAATATATTATGATATATAATATATGTTAATATAGATAATATACTCGTATAATATATAAGGTACCGGTGTCAACATAGTTTTCTGATTTACAAGTATGGTGTCAAAGCCCGAGCTTCAACAAAAGATTGTTGAGTACCATTATCTTTTAAGTATCTTTTCAGCTTTAAGAAAAAAGAAAAAGATATTATTGATCTTATATGGAGACTGGAGTATTTAAATATTACTGAGATATTATTTTCCGCTACAAACTGTTGGTTAAGACGTAAAACTTTCTGCAACTGGCTTTAACTTCAAAATATTTAAAATATTTTTTTGCATGAGCCGTATGATAATCCTATTTTTTACACTAATTTTTCTAATGGTAATTCTTTTATTTTTATGTTTAATGAACGTGTTAGGATGCCCAGACTTTGCGTTATCTTCAATATTTCAGACTTTTCTATAAAAGTGTCGTGATTGTCAAAGTATCGTTTAGTTCTCATTCGCTCAGTAAACACAAACTAGGTATCGCATCTGCCTGATAGTTGACATGTATGTGTTACTGATAGTGGAACTGATAACCAACTTGATAAACAAGATAAAGCCGCCTTATTTCAGACCTCTAGTTGCTTTTTCATCATTCCCTGATTGTATACATATTATACATTAATTTTTTATATTACATATGTATATATTGAAATAAGACTTAATACATATATAAAACATTTCAGACCTTCATTTCTTTAATTAAATAATATTTAATATAAATAATACAAACAGGATAGTATTGAAATTTAACAATTAAAAATAAAAATAAAATTGATTCAATTATTCTACAGCTGGTTTATGATTTTGTTCTAATATAAACACAGCAAGTGAATTTGTTAATAAAAACTTTCACAGCAAATTAACAAAACTCCTGAAAAATGCGGGAACATAAAAAGTCAAGTACGCTTTGAGTCAGCTGGTTAAGGTGCGCCGACTCTGAGCTTCAAATTTGGCAAGACACGAGTTGAATTCCTAGTACTTTTAGTCTCAAATAATTATTTACAAATAATCAAATACAAGAATTATTTCCAAGACCACTAATGATGGGTATTTGGCAATACTCGAAACAGCTGTATGGTCAGCCGAAAATTCAATTAATTAAAATAATAGAAAATGAATTTTTGTTATTGTAGTTCATTACTGTTCGAAAAACCTCTATATAAATAATATAAATTATTTTTTAAAATTTAGCAGCAGAAGCTTGTAATAAAAAAATGAAATAAACAATAAACAACATAAAAGAAATCTTGAAATAATTTATTTTTTATTATATGGTCCATAAACGTTATTTTATGTTTGGGAATAACGCACTGCAATTAAGGAAGATCTTTTATGTCCTTAATTCAACAGCTCAACATTATCTATGTTTATGCGATTTTAACGAAATTTATTCAATAATACATTGTTTTTTAAAAAACTTTTCTATTGTTTTATATAGCATATAAGTATTCATCCAAATATGTGAGAATACAAATTTAACGTCAACTCAATTGAGGTTCGACAAAAGAACCAGCAACGACGGCAACCATTTTATTGCAAATTATGTGTAAACTCTCATCTGATGACTATTAAACAGAACATTTAAGAGGTACTTGACTCGGTTTCCATTCTATCGGGCAAAAAACCCCAAAAAGGCAAAATTGAAAAGCCTTGAAATAATAGAATCGAGTTTTTTCACTTTCAGCAATATAAGACAATATCAACGACAACAAGCAACAGCAAAAAGAATTATTGTAGAAAGTATCTTTTTCCGTCGTAAGGCGTAAGGAAATGTATTCGTTGCTCTTTTGCTTTGGGAACGTGAAACAATGTCGCCTGTGCCACATTTATGATTTTCGTGCGTTTCTTTAAGGACACATACATGCATGCTCAACTGCTCAACTACTCAACTGTAGGTTTATTGAGGCTTTACGTGTAGGTTTCATACATTTTCTTTTTAATTAGGGTTGAGTTGAAAGTTTAATTTTGTACGTACTGTACATACGTTTGTTTTGCTTCTTATTGTAATGATATTAGTATATTTTTGTGAAGAACCTAAACAATGTAGTTTATTTAAAAATCCAACTAAAATTAAAAATTATATTTTATTCCTTTTTAAATAGCAATAATAAATAATTCACCGATATATGGGAATATAAAAGCATAAATTTATGAATTCATGATACTTACGTACAAAAATGTTGCTCATCAGTGTCGCTGGCAGGCAAAACACAATCACAAGGATATCAGCTGTGAAAGAATACACAGAATATAAATATTTGGAAAGAGATTGTTAGGTATATGAAATATTTTTAGGCGTTTTGATTGCGAAAGCATTTCTGGTAACTTATTGAATAAACTAAAGGCACGTACAAATTATATCATATCAACATAAATACGAGTACACTTAAATAGATACACAGAAATTGAATATGAATATATTTTTGTTTGTTTAATTTTGCTTTGTATGTTTTGCACGTATCGAAAACATTTAACCAAAAGGCTCACACTCGAATTCTGTTTGTTATAATTGAATTTGGTCATTGTCCTTTGTGCATTATTTTGTTATTGTGTGCTGAACACTGACCACTGACCACTCACCACTGACCACTGACCACTGCCATCAAAATGGTGACATGACATAAAAACGTTTTGGGAGGAGTAAATTTAATTATTTTGGATGTACTCTTTTTTACTATATCAATTTAGTGTATGGAATTATTTACAATATAAAGAGTACCGTGCAGCATATACTCGTAAATTATTGTGTACACTCAGATAGGATTTACTTTTATTTATATATGTTAACTAAGATTTATATTTGGAACTCCAGCTCCTACTCAAAGAAGTCTGATGAAATGTTTGCTTTATGTCGCATTTTATTTGAATTTGTTTGGTTTAGAACTGCAATAAATCTTAAAGAAAAATTGCTTTAAGCTTATGGAAGAAAACTTCATAAATGATAAATACTTTCGAGCTTTTCCCATAGCTATATACTAGAAAAAAGATTTTTATTTTGTTTCTGAATAAATAAACAAATGAAAAAATTTTAAATGTTTGGAAATTAAAAGCATTATGGATTTTGTAAAGAAAGAAGGTAGGAAAAGTGAGCAATTGTTTATTTTTTGTATTAAATATAATTTTTATTAATAAAACTAACAATTCATCTAGGGCGATAGTGCTTTTTTGGTAAAAAATTAAATAACCGTGAGGTTTGCTAAATCACGACGAATACTTTAGGATAGGTATGTAACAAGAATTGAAGAAAGCCGCTCCCAGCAGGTGCTCTTAACCTACAACAGCAAGAGAGATGGAAAAGTCTACTTGACAAGAATAAAGTTCACCTACATCTGTGTTGTTATATGATGATGGGGTCATGATATTGATACGTAGTAGATCATCAATACTGATTATTGATTAAGACATTCAAATATATAAAAATAAATCTTACAGTCTAAAAAATTATTTGCTATTAGTTAAATCCAAGATATAGTGTATGAAATATCAGATTACTGATGAGAGGTATTTGACAATACCCAAAGATTTTGTTGTTTTAATTAATTTCTATTTAACTTTACAGTTAAATTATAATAAAAATATTAATAAAATGTAATATAAAATCTGTTAAAATATGTTAAAATAAGTTTAATAGTGTCTCGTACATCTTTTTATAAGTTGAAAGAAATACTTTTTAATATTATAATATTCAGAGTTTTTAGTTTTTATTTCGATCGTTATTTTTAGTTTATATAGTATATTTATATATACTAAAAATATTTAATTATTGTTTTTAGAATATCCCTATCAAGAACATATATGAGAAATCATGTCTAACTATTGTATCAGAGAGTTTCTATTGATGGCAAGTACTTATTTCATTGAATAGATGGATTTGAGATAAGGAAAAGAGAATGAAGATGGGTATGGGTGTGGGAAAAGAAATAAAGAGATTGAAAATGAGATACTGATAATTGGATTCTTATAAAGGTGTGATATCGGAGAGGATATTGTTGTAGTGATTAGATTTTTAAGTCTAATATTGAAATAGACTATGTAAAAGATATGGACTGACAAATTGTGATCGGGTGGGGAAACTTTAAGTCGATCTGCTGTTATAATTTAAGTAAAACAAACAAATATTTTTAACACTTATATGGTAATATTAACAAATAATATTTTATTAATTTATTATATTAAATATATTTAATAATAATTTATGATTATGAAATCAATTTTTGTAATAAAATGATAAACTATATATGTTTATTGATTTTTTAAATAAAGTAACTATAAGAAAAATAAAAAAATTATAGTAATTATAAAAAGCAATTTTAGTTGTGCAATTTAAATATATGTCATTAAAATTATATAATATTGCATATCAGAAAGATAATAATGTAAATAGTAATTTTTCGACTTACCAATGGCCAAATTGACAATAAAATAATTTGTAACCGTACGCATACGTGGAGCACGCAGTACTACAGCAATCACAAAGCTATTTCCAATCAATCCAACTAGAAACACTACTAAGTAAGCTATGCAATACACAATTGTCATACTGAGTGAATGACGATAAAGAAAATCGACATTGTCAGAGCCAAGGTCCCAATATGAAGAATCGTTATTCGTTGATTCTGTGGTCGTAGTTATTAAATTTATAAGCAAATTTGTATTCATGGAGTCAAGCGTAGCAGAATTGACTGTACTATCAGTTAAAAAGTTGGGTGCTGGTAGTGTTGTTACTGTAGCGGTGGCAGTGGTCATAACGGAACCTAAAAACAGATTGTTATATATTTTTATTCAGTATGTACGTAGATATATATTTTTTTTGAGGTATGTATGAAACATATATATATTAAGTAATAATAAATCATTCCAATTGTAAATGTACTTCTAAATAATCTGTTGGTGTATTTCTTAAAAACGGGATTAAATTAAATTCAAAATTAACAATATATACCACAGCTATACACTGTGGTTAAAACGTTCTAATTAATAATTAATAACGTAGTAAGGTCAAGAACTGTGCTTACGTTAATTTTGAGTGTTAATATGTTAATCCACGGATTAAATTCGACAGAATTCAATTCTTGACACTAGCAGTCAAGAAATTATAAACAAAAAATTAAACCAATAGATGTTTCCAAAAACCACTGACGAAGAATATCAAGTGATATCCAAGACAACTGTATGATCAGCCATAGAATTCACTTGATCAAGTATCAGAAAACTTCCTCACTATTACCTCTATTAAATAAAATTCTATATATCAATGTTATATATTATTGTAATCTATATTGAAATCTATATATTAGATCAAATTACATATAAAAATATTATATTGTTGGTTTTTTAATATTCTACTCCTTCAACTCTCTACTCTAATAAACTCTCATGTCATAGTAAAAAAACATTACAAGAGTTGGTTTACTTTTTACAAAAACTCATTTACACATAATAAAGCTATGAATTGAAAAAGAAGAAGTAATTTTAATGTACTTTCATTTTGTGGTCTTGATTTGTAAAAAAATCCTCAAAATCATTTACTAAAATAATTAAGTAATACGTTGAAAAATTTAATACTGGATGTATCTCTAATGTATATCTCTAATATCTCTAACTAAACTCTATCGTTGCACTAACATTTATGGATAATGCTGAAGTACTTATATTAAAATAAACAACAGTCAAAGTGCTTATTAATATCACCACGTTAGCAAATATATAAAAAATAAAAAAGAATACAAACTAATAAAAACAAGTGTTAGCTGAACTGGATTAAGTACGCGGGGTATAAATAAGAAAATATTTGTTTTAATGTTGATATATAAAAATATTAAACATTACTAGGTAACCAAACTAAAACTATGATATATGATAAAAAGCTAGCTGCTTGCACTAAAATGAAAAGAAATGTCTAGAGAAAATCTTTCTATGCACTACAGTCACGGAATAAAAACAAGAAAAAAGTTCTACACTAAAGATCTATATGCTAATGTTAGTTGTAAACAAGTATCTTGCTGACTAAATTTATATGGCAAATATTTTTTATGTTAAAAAATGTTGATTAACTGCACTAAAAATACGTAAGTAAAAAAAACACTATAAAAAATATTTTTGAGATTATTTTCAATATTGATAGTTAGTGATAATTGATAGAATTAAAAATACCGAATTAAAACTAAAACAAATCTCTAGTAATGTTAATTTCTTTTTCAATGTATAAAAGTGCTTGTTAACTGCACTTTAAACACAGATTAAAATCAAGGAAACTTAAAACAAATACATAAGTAAATAATTTTGTAATTAAGTATGAAACTTACCTAATAATGTGTCTACTACTGCTACATTTTGTAACGGTAATAAACTTGGCCCAGGATCTGTTGACAAGGTGATAAATTCACTAGAAGCGATTGATGTATTAAGTAAATCCATATCTTGTACTCCGTTTAATAGTAAGCCGCCGTACACTTCTTCAATTTTATGGGGTTCATCACTTGTTAATAAAAAGTCCGTGGTATTATTTTGCATATCGTTGTATTTCGGATTGGTGTATTCCAGCATATAAGAAGTTTCAAGCAAACTTCCATAGACCTCTCCTCTATTGCTACTATTTTTTGTATTTAAAGTTGCAACCATTTTGGATACATTTATTATTGTTATTTTATTATTTCGTTATGTAAGGTTTCAGTTAAGGTTCTTAAAATTATGTGCAATGAAAATAATTATCCATTTGCAAAAATATTATTACTTCGAGTTTTGTATTTACTTTTTAGCATTTCAACCGTTATTATAACCAAGGAGCATGATATTTACCCAAGGTTTTTTCAAAATGTTTCACCTACTTTGAAGAACCTTGAAAACAAATATCCTGATAAGGCCATTTTTTCGAAGTCATTGATTACACTTGTTTCAATAATAATTTTATATATTGCGACTCATTAACAACACAATAATTTGCCAACTAAATAATTTGTACCACAAACAACATGAACATTTAATTGAGTAACATTTCATTGGCGACATTTAAGGAAACAAATTTGTCTGCATATCGCACGAGCCTTACAACACCAAAATGCCTGCCCTATTTTGTGTAATTTATTCCATTCTTCCTTCTTCCCTTATGATAATGATATTTCAGAACTGCCAGACCAGCTGGCGACACAAATGGAGACAATCAAACAGATTACACACAAGAGGAGCACATAAAACATTAAGTGTCAATGTGCTTACTATGCATGCTGTTTATCCATTTAGCCAACACGACAGTCCAACCGACTCCATCCGCAATCGACTCAAACCCTACACAAAAACAAAAAAATCTTCATTGAACCAAAAAGTAAATGTCAACTTAGATGTTTGGTAACGATAACCTAATCCTCTTCCTTGTTATGACAAATGTTAAGAGTTAACTGTATTCATTTTCTACTTGACTTGACCTCTTGACCCGTGCTTCAAAATTAAATTTTAGCAAATAATTTCTTAACTTAATGTTTAAAATTGTAACATTATAAATTTGTTGTTATGAGTTATTTATAAACATCTATCCTTTTATATAAATAATTCAATTTATTTTTTTTTCAAACAATTCACACACTTATTGGATCCGCATTTTTAGTTTGAACGATGTTTACAGCTGTACTGCCAGAATGCTACTGGTGCACATATAATTCTGCGTTAGTTCCTTTTTCTGCCCATTGCACAGGTTCGTTTTCTGAATGACAACGTTTTCGCCTCCTGCAATCGTACACGACAATAAAGTAGGTCCTTTGGAGCCATTCCGCACACTCCTCTTGCGCTCAACATAAAAACTTACTCTCGTCCTTGCGCTTTATATATAGAAAGTGGTAGAGTTTTAAACTCTAGTACACTGTGAAAAATTTATTCAATATTATTTATAGGCTGTACAAAATTTCTACTTCACGTTATGTACCGATTATAGAAAAAAAGTACATGATAGATGAAAAATTTATTTGCAAAATATATAATATATAAAATAATAAAGAAGTGATATACGAAAAACGAGTAAAATAATTGTACATAGATTATTAAATATGTTGGGTTTTCCTCATAATAACCTAAGAAAATTAATTTGAACAGTCATAACTCCCGACCTCGTAAAACCATACAAAACATCATATTAATAAATATTTAATGCTCTAAAATTGAATTACGATATTTGGATCACATTTAGACTTTGAGAGAATTTTTAACTAGAAGTTATTTTTAAGCAGATGTTTCTTTACGTCACTATATTTCGACTAATATTGAATATAGGTCCTCCTTTACAAGGAAATCTTTTTCGTTTTTTATAATCAACGAAAATAATCAACTTCCGACGTTATAGAGCAGTGGTACCCAACCGGTGATACGCGGGAAATGGCTAAAAATGGTCCGTGAATCAAATTAAACAGGTAAGATAGTTTGTCCACAGAGACCTCACTTATTAGAAAATAAGCACAAAAAATTCCAAGTAATTGTAAACCTATTTCATTCCCTTTTTAATGTACCTATTAAGTACATTGTATTGAATTGTACTCTTAAGTACAATTTATTATACATTATACCAGAGATGCATAAAGCATATTAAAATATTCATACACTCTGTGATTCTAAAACGTTTGTGGAACCACTATTATTAACTGTTGAAGTGATACGTTGTGTATAAATAATATAGTGAATATTTATATATATTTGGAAATTCAAATACTAAGAAACTAAAGTTTCATCCCCTGATTTCTGGAATGCGATTTTAGCAGTCTTTTTCAGTCTGATGACTGAGATTTTCTCGACTCATTCCTAAGAAGTGGTTTTAGTGGATTAAAGTCTTACACTTTCTGTGGTTTACTTTTCACCTATCGCAGTATTGGTGAATAATTTTTAGAATACACGTCAACTACTTTATGGTATATAAAACAATTACTTAACTGAAATATGAAATTCCATTGGCAGCTAAAAAAAATCATATGCTTAGCATAAGATCCCAGTAGTGGTCCCTAGAATTATGTGCCGTTCACACTGTTCATCAAATAACGAAAACGGTTAAACCACAACAACAACTAATGTGTCGACCTTTATTGTATTTATTGATTTTAAATATTATAAAATTAATACTTTCAAAAAACCATAACCAGACCATTTAAATTAGTAAATTTAAAAAGAATAAAAAAAATTCATTATCATTATTAAGATCTTTATTCTTCTAAATTGTCATGACCACATGACGAGTTATAATAATTTAAATATAATTTATTTTTAAACAAACTTCTACTTAAATATGGAGAATAACCACTAAAATCCATATTTCATTGCTAGAAAGCATATAAATTGAAAAGAATGTGCTTTACATTCATTTTTATATATTTTTTTATTAAAATAAAAAAAGTTTTATCTCAATTTTATATTATTTTTTAAAATTCTAAATAAATAATCACTTATAAGACTATTAATAAAATGAATTTTGCTATATGAAATTTAAACTTTATTCAAAAGTTTAATAAATTGTACATAAAATATAATATTTGTTAAGAATACTCAACAGTTTTGGTAAATATAAGAAAAAAACATTTTATTTTATTTTATTTTATAATAATTTAAAATATTTAATTATATTGATATATACTTATTATTCGTTATAAGATTTTAAGTCAACAATCAGCACATTTGACAATTGAAAAATACTCGCATTGTGAAAGTTTAACATATGAAGCTTATTAAAGTAAAACTACAATCTGTAAATAAAATAATAAACATCTGTAAGGTAATAATAAAATAAATAATTTAAATACGAAATATAATATACGTATAATAATTAAAACATATAAAAACTTTATGAAATTTCAAACAAAAAAGCTTTTTGAGTTGCACGTGTAAGCTATTATGTCGAAAACTAAATGCTTACTCACTTCATTACAAAGCAAAGCAGTACTTTTCATTTAATACCTTATTATTTCCTTCCGCCATTTGTCATTTAATCTCTCCACGGTTTAACGCATCTTTTGCTATGGGGATCCGGTTAAGCTTAAGATGCATGACTAATGGAAACTGTAATGAATTTGAGCAATTGTTACATTTTGCAAACGACATGAACATTAAACAATAGAAGGATTATTACTGACAATAAAATTAGAAGAATTTGTACCTACACAGAATAAAAAAAACATATACTTGCACCACAAAACGGTTATGAATTGACTGAACACACTACTCTAAATTCTACTCAAATTTAACTCACTCATCTTTTAAAAAATATTTCTCACTCATGAGTTTACATAAACGCTTGAAAAAAAAACACCGTCAAAAGTTCAAACACCTTTAAACCAAAATAATATGTACACTGTAAATATTTTTAAGTTACTTTGGTAACAAAATAAAAGTTATATGAATAAAAATTAAAACTGATATACAATATTAAAATAAAATTAAAAATTTAAAAATAGCAAAAATATTTATACTCTTTGAAATTAAATTATGTAAATTTGAGTGATACAGTAAATACATTTTTAACATTAATAACTTATTGCATTTAAAACTATGATTAATACTAGGAATTTAATAAAAATAAAATTAAGAAACCCATTAAGTTGATAGTTTGTTATTAGTACTTTCTAAGGTAGAGAAATTAAAATTAATCATTACGTTAATGTACTAGTTTATTATAATCGCCTCTACAAATATTTTATTTTAAAGTAAATATAATATTTTTGTACTAGGATATTGTTAAATTATGAGAATGTCGAATTTCAGAGAAGTAGATATCGAATTTAGATTTTTAATCAGCTTCTTCGGATAGATTGATATTCATTTAATTGAATTTAGACGTAAACTGATATTTCTATATCTATTATCGATTTTAATTAAATTAATCAAATAAAAATTTATAAAAGATAATTTGTTAATGCTTTTTCAAAATTTCCTTTAAATTTGAAATAAAAAATAAATTATGTTATGTTATGTTATATAAATTGCAATTTTCGAAAGTCATTAGCACAGTTTTGTATGGATTTTGTATGATAAATGATGTATATATATTATTATGATGATTATTAAGTCGATATTTATAGATTTAATTGCAATCCTGTATGCTTACTGGTAGAATACAATTATATAAATACATTATTAATTAGAATATTTAAATTTCAAAGATTTTTGTCTTGATGAGAGGAGACTCTTGAAATCTTAAATGAAATAATAACTAAAATAAAATCAAAATATAGTTTTTAATATATTAAATAATATATAATATTTCAACTAACTCATTAATAATGTAACTATAAGTCGCAGATGCCATATAAATGTTTTGGAAATAATTGGATCCAAATAACATTATAAATTAAAAGTTGTCCATTTAATGTGATAACCATGTAGGCAAGTAGATAACAATTAACAGAACTAAAGCACATTGACAAGCAAATGTATTTTCATTTTCAGTTTTTAGTTTGTTTCCGTTTGCGAAAAGAATAGTCATGAACAATTAATTTTGATTTTGCAATTATTGCTAATTATGATTCATGAATTCTGAAGTGAAAGCATAGCATTTATAATTAATGAATAGTTGGCAACTCTATTATTATTTTTTATTTAATATTGTAGACACTGTCATGCTTTGTAATCCGGCATGATTGAAGTAACATAATATGCAACTGTTTGTGTATAGAAACAAAATTTTATAGATTGTGATTAAAAATAAACACAAAAAATTAAAAATTTATTAAATTATTATTTTCTTATAATAGATTTATTAAAGAAATTATTAAAGCAATTGAAAATTATTTGAAGTTAACTTTCGTAATATG